TTTAACCTACAGTATTAATGTGTGAGAAAAAGAAAATGATATTTTATTAATTATCTAGCAAAATTTATTGAAATACAAACCCTTTTAAATTTGTTTCGCCAACATTGTTTATTGAATTTAGAAAACACGCTATGTTCAGTATTATATATGGCCAAGCCAAAATGTGCTGCTACTCTTCTGGTTTAGTGAAATCGAATCTTTAATGTATCTGCTATTTGCCGAAAGTCTCATATTGCTGCCTTTATTTGCGGTTTTTGAGAAAACGTCACTCCGAAAACGACATGTTTGGGAAATTAAAAAAATTATATATAGGTCGTAAGATATTTTTTCGTATTGTTTTATACAATTTGCAACTTATTCCAAGTTTAATTAACACTAAGTATCCGTGTTTGAAAAAGTAAGAAAACGGAATCTTACGTTATTAGGTAAATTTATTTGAAATACCAAACCTTTTCGAAATAAGTGAACATCTACGCTATTTAAATAATTGAGAATATACGCTATGTTTGGTATTATATATGGCCAAGTCAAAACGTGCTGCTACTGTTCTGGTATAGCGACATCTAATCTAAAAGGTATCTGCTTTTTTCCGAATGTGTCGTAGTGCTGCCTTTATGGGCGGTTTTCGAGAAATCGCCCTTTCAAAAACGAATATTTTCCGAAATTTAGAAACGAATCCACTAGAGGGCGTAAAATTTTTTTTTTGTATTTTATACTTTCCTAATTAATTCTTGATTCAATAGACGTGCAGTTTTAATTTGTGACAAAGAGAAAAATATATTTTATCAATTATCCAGCCACTTTAGTTGAAATACAAATCCATTTTAAATTTGTTACGTCGACATTGTTTATAAAATTGAGAATACACGCTATGTTTGGTATTATATATTGCCAAGTCAAAACATGCTGCTACTGTTTTGGTATAGTGAAATTGAATCTATAAGGTATCTGATTTTCTCCGAATGTGTCGCAGTGCTGCCTTTATTGGCGGTTTTCGATAAATTGCCCTTCCAAAATCAATAATTTTTTGTAATTTTGAAAAGAATTTCCGAGAGGGCATAAAATGTTTTTTCGGTATTCTATACTTCCCGCAACTCATTCTAAGTTTAGTAGACATGCGATATTAATGTGTGACAAAGAGAAAAATATATTTTATCAGTTGTTCAACAAATTTAGTTGACATACAAACCCCTTTTAAATTTGTTTCGTCCACATTGTTCGTAAATTGAAGAATATACGCTATGTTTGGTATTATATATGGCCAAGTCAAAACGTGCTGCTATTGTTATAACATAGTAAAATCAAATCTATAAGGTATCTGATTTTCTCCAAATGTGTCGTAGTGCTTCCTTTATTGGCGGTTTTTGAGAAATCGCCTTTTCAAAAGCGATAATTTTTTGAAATTCCGAAAAAAATCTACAACACAATAGGACGTCAAATCATTTTTTGTTATTTTAAGATTTGCCCACTTATTCCAAGTTCAATGAACGTACAGTTTCGATGTATGACCAAGAGAGAAAAGTATTTGATAAATTATTCAGTAAATTTAGTTGAAATACCAAACCGTTTTTAAATTTGTTACATCTACATCGTTAATAAAATTGAAAATTATACGCTATGTTTGGTATTATAAATGGCCAAGTCAAAACGTGCTGCTACTGTTCTGACATATTAAAATCGAATCTATAAGGTAACTGCTTTTCTCCGAACGTGTCGTAGTGCTGACTTTATTGGCGGTTTATGAGAAATCGCCCTTTGAAACACGATATTTTTTTTAAAATTCCGTGAAAAATCCACAAGAGGGCGTAAAATCATTTTTTGTTATTTTAGGATTTGCCCACTTATTCCAAGTTTAATGAACGTACAGTTTTGATGTATGGCCAAGAGAGGTAAGTATTTGATGAATTATCCAGTAGATTTAGTTGAAATAGCAAACCGTTTTTAAATATGTTACATCTACATCGTTATTAAAATTGAAAATTATACGCTATGTTTGGTATTATAAATGGCCAAGTCAAAACGTGCTGCTACTGTTCTGGCATATTAAAATCGAATCTATTGGGTACCTGCTTTTCTCCGAATGTGTTGTAGTGCTGCCTTTATTGGCGGTTTTCTAGAAATCGCTATTTCAAATACGATAATTTTTTGAAATTTTGAAATAATCCGCAAGAGGACGTAAAATGTTTTTTGGTATTTTATACTTTTCGCAACTTATTCCAAGTTTAATGAACGTACAGTATATATGTATGTCCAGGAGAAAAAGATGTTCCATTAGATATCTAGTAAATTTAGTTGAAAAACCAAACGGTTTTTAAATATGTTACGTCTGCATTGTTTATAAAATTTTGAATACACGCTATGTTTGGTATTATATATGGCCAAGTCAAAACGTGCTGCTACTGTTCTGGTATAGCGACATCTAATCTAAAAGGTATCTGATTTTCTCCGAATGTGTCGTAGTGCTGCTTTTATGGGCGGTTTTCGAGAAATCGCCCTTTTAAAAACGAATATTTTCCGAAATTTAGAAACGAATCCACTAGAGGGCGTAAAATTTTTTTTTTTGTATTTTATACTTTCCTAATTAAATCTTGATTCAATAGACGTACAGTTTTAATTTGTGACAAAGAGAAAAATATATTTTATCAATTATCCAGCCACTTTAGTTGAAATACAAATCCATTTTAAATTTGTTACGTCGACATTGTTTATAAAATTGAGAATACACGCTATGTTTGGTATTATATATTGCCAAGTCTAAACATGCTGCTACTGTTTTGGTATAGTGAAATTGAATCTATAAGGTATCTGATTTTCTCCGAATGTGTCGCAGTGCTGCCTTTATTGGCGGTTTTCGATAAATTGCCCTTCCAAAATCAATAATTTTTTGTAATTTTGAAAAGAATTTCCGAGAGGGCATAAAATGTTTTTTCGGTATTCTATACTTCCCGCAACTCATTCTAAGTTTAGTAGACATGCGATATTAATGTGTGACAAAGAGAAAAATATATTTTATCAGTTGTTCAACAAATTTAGTTGACATACAAACCCCTTTTAAATTTGTTTCGTCCACATTGTTCGTAAATTGAAGAATATACGCTATGTTTGGTATTATATGTGGCCAAGTCAAAACGTGATGCTATTGTTATAACATAGTAAAATCAAATCTATAAGGTATCTGCTTTTCTCCAAATGTGTCGTAGTGCTTCCTTTATTGGCGGTTTTTGAGAAATCGCCTTTTCAAAAACGATAATTTTTTGAAATTCCGAAAAAAATCTACAACACAATAGGACGTCAAATCATTTTTTGTTATTTTAAGATTTGCCCACTTATTCCAAGTTCAATGAACGTACAGTTTCGATGTATGACCAAGAGAGAAAAGTATTTGATAAATTATTCAGTAAATTTAGTTGAAATACCAAACCGTTTTTAAATTTGTTACATCTACATCGTTAATAAAATTGAAAATTATACGCTATGTTTGGTATTATAAATGGCCAAGTCAAAACGTGCTGCTACTGTTCTGACATATTAAAATCGAATCTATAAGGTACCTGCTTTTCTCCGAATGTGTCGTAGTGCTGCCATTATTGGCGGTTTTTGAGAAATCGCGCTTTGAAACACGATATTTTTTTTAAAATTCCGTGAAAAATCCACAAGAGGGCGTAAAATCATTTTTTGTTATTTTAGGATTTGCCCACTTATTCCAAGTTTAATGAACGTACAGTTTTGATGTATGGCCAAGAGAGGTAAGTATTTGATGAATTATCCAGTAGATTTAGTTTAAATAGCAAACCGTTTTTAAATATGTTACATCTACATCGTTATTAAAATTGAAAATTATACGCTATGTTTGGTATTATAAATGGCCAAGTCAAAACGTGCTGCTACTGTTCTGGCATATTAAAATCGAATCTATTGGGTACCTGCTTTTCTCCGAATGTGTTGTAGTGCTGCCTTTATTGGCGGTTTTCGAGAAATCGCTATTTCAAATACGATAATTTTTTGAAATTTTGAAATAGTCCACAAGAGGACGTAAAATGCTTTTTGGTATTTTATACTTTTCGCAACTTATTCCAAGTTTAATGAACGTACAGTATATATGTATGTCCAGGAGAAAAAGATGTTCCATTAGATATCTAGTAAATTTAGTTGAAATACCAAACGGTTTTTAAATATGTTACGTCTGCATTGTTTATAAAATTTTGAATACACGCTATGTTTGGTATTATATATGGCCAAGTCAAAACGTGCTGCTACTGTTCTGACATAATAAAATCCAATCTATAAGGTATCTGCTTTTCTCTGAATGTGTCGTAGTGCTGCCTTTATTGGCGGTTTTTGAGAAATCGCCTTTTCAAAAACGATATTTTTTTTAAAATTCCGGAAAAAATCCACAAGAGGGCGTAAAATCATTTTTTGTTATTTTAAGATTTGCCCACTTATTCCAAGTTTAATGATCGTACAGTTTTGATGTATGACCAAGAGAAAAAAGTATTTGATAAATTATCTAGTAAATTCAGTTGAAATACCAAACCGTTTTTAAATATGTTATATCTACATAGTTAATAAAATTGAAAATTATACGCTATTTTTGGTATTATATATGGCCAAGTCAAAACGTGCTGCAACTGTTCTGACATATTAAAATCAAATCTATAAGGTATCTGCTTTTCTCCGAATGTGTCGTGGTGCTGCCTTTATTGGCGGTTTTCGAGAAATCGACGTTTTAAAAACGATAATTTTTCGAAACTTCGTATTTGCGGAATACCTGAAAATTCATTTTTCGCTCAGTTGGTCTTTTTTTAAACACTATATTTTTTGTCAAATTTTTTGTATTCAGTCAGTTTGAAGATTTTTCATGTATTTCCGTGCTAAAATTATATTTTGATGAACTTTTTCAATTTTTATATGTAACTATAAGTGAACACTTTTTGCGTGTAGAACCTATATTCAATGGGTAAAAATATTCTGGCTGAAAGTGCTGCTAGCTTCACAGTGGTGACAGTGCAGCGTGATGAACCATTGCTGTGTTTACAAGATTTCCCGCTAAAGCACAAGAGGTGCCGGATTCGAAAGTTTACCGGATTATTACCGGTAAGTTGGGTCAGGATTTACATATTTATCCAGGGTGAGAATGAATCCTCCATAGGTCGGCTCAATCATATGGCGAACCACGGCTGGGTTACCAGTCCATGTCGGGTATGAGATTAGTTAGCCAGTTATTAGTTTTCAGATGTATGGACTTGGTGGTAGGGGAAGCCGTAACCGACCAGCGATTACGTGAACCACCCTACGGCTAGGAGTCCAGCAACCCTCTCGCACATAATTATTTGCTTATGGTAAGATCACGCGTACTCACTTTTAAATAAAGAAGACTGATATCTGAGGGAAGTTATAGGTCAGGGATGGCGAACCTTTTTCAATGAATGGGTCAAAAATTATATTTTTATCGCGGAACAGAAGAGAGTGGGTCACAGATATTTGATCAATGTTTGTATCTATAAGAAACTTCTGAAACAAATCTTATAAGCTTCTGCTTCTGTTGGTGTTGGCGTAGTTTTGGGCTTTACTTATGCAGCACTTCTATCAGGGACTTTTCATGGCACTCGATTTTATGAACTTAAAGTACGAAAACACGCATATGAATTACCAAAAATGTTTAGGATAATGCGGCAAATTATTTTACGGTTCCAAAAAATTTGGAGGAAATTCCACTCTGATAGTGTTATATTTTTCGATCAGCTTTCAACCACATTAAGTCACTTTTACACTGCCCATTGTTGTTTCAGATTTTTAGGTTTTTATTTCAAGTCTGAAAGATTTTGTTCTCTTAACGGCATCGTATGCAAGAAACTAATAAGATACAAAGTAGCATCTAGTTCTCGCATAACCCCTAAAACAGTCTGTAGATGCACTTCCTAAAGCAGCGTTTCCCAACCTTTTTTGGTCGCGGACTATTTTCTCACCGGCGAAAACCTTTGCGGACTCAACGTGCGTTTATTGCAGACGTACTCTGTGTGAAGAAGTAATAAAACCAAACATAACAGAATTTTAACGAATTTCAAAATCGGAAATTCGCTGCAATTACGCGTTTGTTAAAAGAGTCGACTTTTTAGCTTATAAATGGCCTTTTCTGTCGCACAATATTCAATCCATGACAACAACGAGAATTTAAAACGTCTTTCTATTTTAATTTAATTGTGTTCGTAGTCACTCGCGGTTGCGTCGACCTATGACAAAATGAAAGCATTTCTTCTTCAAAATGCCACGGCCAGGTAGCACCCGAATTTGCTATGTCTTTTAATCGGCCGCGGGTCATCATAAAACAGAACCTAAGATGTACTCCGTTCTTCTATTTTTAGTATTTTGTATTGCGCTTTTGAATTTAGGTCGCCACCATTGACAACTACGAAGAAAAAAATTATTTCTCGTTGTTCGAGCTCGCGAGAAACACCACTTAGGTATCTATCCACGAGTGTGCCGACTCGTGTTTTCGTCGGATATCCGCAAGTGAGTTGTGAAATCCAATCGTTGATTAAGCGACGCGCAAGTGACCTGTTGCGTCACCTGTTACCAAATTTTCGAATAGTAAATTGCTATTCTAATAGTTGAATATTCGAATATATGCCCAGCCCCACTCAGTAACCAGTAAATATTGACTCGATTAATGTTATGTGAATAAACTTGATTTTTATGTCTTATGTAAATTCTAACGTAACTTGACTGATGATTAAATTTCACAAAAATGTTGCGGCCCTTAGTGAATTTCTGACTCGTTGCGGACTCATTCAAACGCTTCGCGGACTCATTTGAGACCGCGGACTCGGGTTGGGAAACACTGTGACCTAAAGAGACAAGACGTTGCGACGAATGAACATGTCGGCTGCATTGTTATGTCATAAACGATGTCAGAGTCAATAGCTGAATAACGGTACACAGCGGTGCAGACATGCGTCCAAGATTAAGGGTTTTGAAAATTATCATACCGACCCGAATAATCACCAATTTGAATATGAGCGATCGCGGCCCTGACTGCGCAACTGACGGTACATTATAAAATTGATTGTTAGATTAACTTAAGGCCGGTTTTATCAATTTTTATCACTGATATGTTAGCATTTATTTTATTTTATTCGTGCCTTGGCGGGTCACGAATGAAACGCGGTGGGTCACAAAATGACTGTTATAGGTGAACACTCAAGTAACAAGATACGGAGCCGAAAAAGACTCATAGCGTAAAAAAAATACGCGTTATTACTATTAGGGATATTCATAACCTTTGACCTGTTGCAATTTCCGCATTCGCCGGTGCAAAAAGGGGTGACGTTTGCGATTTTTTGCTCTGGACGTTAACCCGCCAAGGCTGACTGGCAATGTTTCATGTGTATAAAACGCAATGTAATGGTGTTTTGTTTCTAGATTCATAAAAATATTGTTTTCATATGCGTTATGGTAGTATATTTTGTAAAAATAACGTACACATGTACGATGTATCGTAGGCCTCCATATGTGAATACATAAAAGGGATCAATACCTTAAATAATATAGATACAGTTAGCTCATAAAGTACTGTGTGCTACAAGAAGAGTAGCTATTCTTTTTTAAAGCTATTAGGTAAGATTCGTTGAGTTTTCAATAAGTAATAACACTACCACACTACCGGTATGCCTAGATAAAAACTGTGATCACAAACAATTACAGAGTAAGTATCTGAATTCTGAGTATATAACTTTTTGTTTCAGTTGTTCACAATTTGAACACTTACAGCTGGAGAAGACCTTCATGCTTGAGCTCTTACAACCTAATCACCAAAGTTGCTGTACATTGATTGAAATACAAAGCCTACTACTGAAGAATATCTTGAAAAATTTGCTTCTGCCGGGTACATCATGGGACAGTAGAGGGGTTTTATTCAGACTACTGTATGGTATACCAAGTTCACAATTACAGACTTTTGAACTAGCATTTACCTGCCGTGTTACTACTGGAATTGTTTGAGCACGAAGTTTGTGAAAACAAAGAAGCTCTTACAAGATGCTAAAAATGAGAGTACGGTAACCAATCCAGTAAAATCTCTAGCAAACAAAAGGCTATTTTTTGTTCCTACATTTTCTGTGAGATCTGATATTTCATTTAAAATGCGCTGTGTAATTTTTAGTTATTGTAACACGTTTTTATGGCATTACGATGGTTGTCTTTCCCCGTTTTTTGGCATCGTAACGGCTGGTACTGGTAGTCTTCTGTCACAGATTGCATACCTGTAATACGGCGTTTTAGATTCCGTGTCCATATATTTGAGCATTGCTTCTTTTTTAAATGCCGATGGACAAAATACCACGAAAAAACCGTCAAGAACTCCACATAACTAGAGTTTCAAAATAAAATAAAAGATGGGCATATAATTCTGGTGTCTGGTAGGTGGCCTACACTGGTAGTAAAAAGCAAGTGGTATTATATATATGGCTATAGAGGAGAGGATATGACTTCTGGACTTGACACCAAGCAGTCCTGCCAATAGATGATATCCACATTGCGCGACGTTCCGGATCTTTTGAAAACAGTAGAATATAACTAAAGATCAATTTCGTTTTCTATACTATACGTACAGCCAACTGAACAATACGAAATAACCATTTTCAACAGCCAAACAAAACGGAAACGTATAAACCGACTTGCAGCTGACAGGGGCCAAATGGACGTTTTTGTTTTTTGCCGTCCAGTAAACAAAGTCACGTGACCCGTGCTCTATATGTTTAAAGCTACGCCATTGCTTGGCTAATACTGACTTACTGTTGTTAATAAAACAAACGAAAAGTCAATTTTTTGAGATATTAATAGATTTATAAAAATGATTCCCGTCTGTAAAAAATAAAAAATGGAAGTCGTGACACCCGCAAATTCGATTTATTCCTAAAAAAGAGTAGCATCTAAAAGACATTTAATTTATGTTAATTTGTAAATTCAAATTATAAAGATTGTAAATGTTTACATAGCTTCATTTTCTGACTAATGACAACTTGCACATTGAAAGTATATCGAAGCGCTCATCAATTTTATTACCAACACAGAGCAATTATCCATTCAAAATATTAACAGTAATGGAGTAAATACATGCTTGCATATTGATTTCTTGAGTAATGGTATTATTACTCATTACATATATATAAATTATATTTCAATAGGTACCGATTCGTTTTTCCAGATGCAGTGTGGTTGTTACTAGTTTGATGTAGAGATGGAAAATAGCTCGACTGATTCGTGGACTCGGAATATATCAATCCTCACAACAAATTTAACTACAGAAGCCCCTGCAATTGGGTAGGCGCTTTTCTGTATTTTGTTAATTAACTGAAGATTTACAATGTGACACAATGTGAAGTAATATCTCTAAAACTTATTTTTCTCTGAAATGACGAATTATTGGTAATGTTTTAATGGCTTTAAATAAATATTTTTCAGAAACGAATGGGGTGCAGGACTATTTTTTTATTCAGAAACATTGGTGTTGACTGTGGCTATTGCTGTCTTTTTCGTTTTCGGAATTTGTACCAATGCTCTTACGTTCATTGTCATTGTCTCTTCAAAGAAATTATCGAAGTTAGTACTTTCTATGTCATCAATATCTTTTTAGCTTTAGATTTAAATAAGTTACATATTAATAGATATATGCCATTAAGACAAATTCTATTGTTTTGAAGTATATATTATTATTTCTGGTACGTAGATATTTAGCAAAAAATGCATAGCAACAACAATATACTTCCTTGTGAGTCGCATTTGTCCCGCGGGCCACAGGGTACACGATGTCAAAATATTTACGCCGTTTATTAGGATTACTGGGCCACTTGAGATTATAAAAACCTTGCTTTTTTTCCAGATCTCCGTTCAACATCATGATAATGAGTTTATGCGTTTCTGATTTTCTCTCAGCTTGCGACAGTCCATTTGTCTTGTATCGACGATCCTATGGATATTTCGAATATCGTTTACCCGTATTCTTTTGTAAGGTAATTAAATTAAAATCATGTCGTGTCGTTAACCCATTTCTCTCACGCACAGAAAAAATAGTCGACTCCGATTTTAACAATAAACCTAAATCAAAAAGTGAAAAAGGATATATAATATGTGTAACTGTTGTCCATAATCTCTTCAAACAATTTTTCTTCTTTATTTGCCGACTAAATTTAAGTCAGCTATGAATAACGACATATTAAACAATTCCGGAAGAAACTTATATATATATAAACTATGTATGAACAGATAAGAGCTAATTATTTCAAATCAAATATTTACTAGATTACATGTTATGTTGCAGATAGTAGCATGCTATTCATCTTTAATTTGTTAGTTCATGATTTTTAGAACACAGTTGCTCTCGACTTTTGGACAAACAACGTGACAATTCAACATATCCTAGTCTTCACAATACTTCGAATCGCTGCAATAAAATTCCCACATCGAATGAAGCAGTTTACCGCGGCCAAGGCTAGGGTGAGTGGATCGCATGCGCGATCATGTTTTTACATATTGTACCCAGCCTAAAATCGTATACCTATTTATTTGAATACCGGTAACAAACTGAAATAAATAGTCCTTTCATTAGAGGACGCTGTCAAAACTTGTTAATTAAATTAACAGATACTGACCGCAACAATATGGATTGAAACTTTTTTGGTAAATTACGTATTCTACTTTTCCATGCTAACGGTTTACCCTCCAGGAATAGCAAAAGCCATTAGAGCATGCTCCACAGATACAAAAAAGTAAGTCAGTTTAAATGTTGCAACCATTTTGCGATTTTGTTCGCCCTTTCATCAATTGTTAAATTTCATTCATCCGCTATAAAATATTCAGGTAAGCAATTGCATCACTGGATGTCAAACTTTCTAAAATATATAAATGAAAGTTCGTTGTATCAGCAATATGCCTTCAGATTTATGGAAGTTTAGAGTACTGTAGTTCGATGTTGCTGAAATTCCAGACATGAGAAGGAGAAGAGAGAATTTATTATGTCGTCAACCAGAAAAAAAAAACGGTTGTTGAAACAATAATTAGTACATACAACAACATACGCAAAGTGATTCAGTATAAACTAAGGGGGGCGATACGATGGTCATCCGCGTCAGCTCAGGACCGAAAACACCCCCCGAACACTGCAGCGTTTAAGTTCAATTGCATTGAATTCAGTTTGCAGTAGCGCCAGTGTTCATCGGCGCAAATCTAATTTAAAAAAATAATACTATATGTGCCAATAGGTAAAAATTGGTTTAATACAAAATACTATATTATAATATTGTTTAGAATATTTACTATTAGCTCAAAAGTTGCAGACGTTTTCAAAATTATTCTTTCTTTCAATTACATATATATATTAGTATCTTGTGATGTCTGAGCAACTTACCATAGCAACTAACATCTTTAACAGTTTTACTACTTATATGAATGAGAATTTGAAATGTTAATAATTTAGCGTTTTTTCGTTTTATTTTTAGAGTTTTCTTCGTGAAAATGTATTTGTACATTGCATATCCCATATTTCTGTATATTCCACTATGCTCCCTAATTCTGCTCTCAGTATATCTTGTTTTTCTGATATATCAAAGAAGAAACATGAGAAAAGGTGAGAAATTAGTGAACTTGTGCGTAAATAGATCGAAAAATTTCTACGTGAAATTGTATATATTTTTGGTTCTAGAAAGTAACGCAGATATTGACGTCAGTAAAGAAAATTTTGCACTCCTCCAACTTTCACTGATAATGGGCTCGTTCATGCTTGGTTACATACCGGATATTTGTGAGTAAATTTTGTTATTCATTTTCGGTTTTAATTAAAGAAAGTATATTATATTTTTTGTATTTTTTTTCAGCTTACAGATTTGTAATTATTACTCAATTATGGAAAAAAGTTGCATACCATGGAAGAGGTCCGTGGCAGCACTCAATGATAACTCACATCTGCTTGAGGGTATCAGAATGCCTCAATCCAATCATCTACAACGTAGCATCCAGGTAATATAAATTATATTGATTGGGTAACATATTAAACATTTGCATACCCATATGTTCATATATTCCTATGCAGCACATTGAGAGATCACAGTAAGCAGTTTCTTAGACGGATGTGTTGTCGAAAATCCTCTCAAGTAAATGGAAACTCACACGAAAAAACACATGGGGGTACAACAGAATCCCATACTACGGATATGACGAAATCGGCACAATCAGCAGTATAAAACATTTATTTTTTTTGCATGTTTATAATCTCACTTTCATCGCATTTGTCTGCAATGAAATTGCAGGGTTTCGACTATTCGAATGTTTTGACTTAGACGCCTCATTGCGAATTTGCTGTCGCCACGGCTACTTAGATTGATGGTGCATGGAGTCGTTTTGTTGTTGAAATGCGTGACTGCTAGGTCGCCTTGACGTATTTATTCATTTTTTCAAATAACAATTAATAATTCAAATTTTTATTATAATTTTCTGTTAGACTTTATTATGGGTACCGCTGTTCGATAAGTAATATTAGTTTTCGGCGGCACCCTTCAGTGCCCTCACCCTGAAATGTATTTTCATAATTGCAATTTGTATATGTAGTGTGCTTTCGGTATGGTGAAAAAATAAACTACTGACTTTGTTAAGAACACAGAGATACTTAAAGCCACATCGAATATACGGTAGAAAACAAAATTTTTCAAATCAGAAAATTAAACTACCAAACTAGTCATGCTCAGTGCTTTGAGAAACCTTGATAATAGATCAGCTTCGCCAGGTTTAAAATATAATCAGTCATACATTGAGCATGTACAGCAATAGAGAGCATAACCAAAAGACTGTTTCTCTCCCCCACTTATACGTTGATTTATTACTTCAATGCTTTTGATTATAGTTGATTTAATATTACCAATTTATTCATGTTTTGTTTTTACTGTGGTGGCTGTATTTGATATTTTTTTCAAATATTGGTGCTGCTTCGAAATAAAATATACAATGCTTATGCTATGTCTGTATGTTATTTATCAGTTATGGCAGTATGGGCATCTGCAGGATTTTAGCCAGGTTGCTGTAGCAAGAATAAAAATTGCATATTATATATATACTGTACTTTAATGATTACACTCATGAATAAGCAAATGTTCATCAAGTAAACGGTGACTTCTATGGATTGGAAATTTTTGTACATGATTGTACCAAAAAATATTCAGTAACTTAGGAAGTTCGACACAAAAGTTATGTTCAAAGGACTTCCTCGGCGCTGGATACACACTGGCTTCCGTTGCGCAAAATTGTTAATCACTCGCACTCACCGCAGGTAATAACTGGTGCTTTCACCCAACTCGGAATATGGAGTGATTCAATGTGCGGTAACACCAGAAATACTTAAAAAGCCCATTCCCAAATAGACTATTTACTAACATTTGTTGTTTTGACTTTATTGCAGTAGTAACGGACATCAGTGAGTCAGTTTATTCCAGCATTCACACACAATTTAATCTATTCGTATGACCATCACTCCAAATATTAACTACATCAATGAAAACAAACGTGACAGATAGAACTTACCATTAGCAAAATCCCAGAGCTCAATAACAGAGTTGCGCTCACTAAAAACACAAACAGAAGAGAGCGGCCTGCGGGAGAACGCAAGGATGCCATATTATTAGTAGGAATAGACAGCAAAGTTGGCTCATTAAAATATATTTGGGGCTTGCATGTTATAAATCATGGAAATAATACATGCAATTAATTATTAGTATCATATGTTGGATAATAAATCATTTCATTTAACCGAATGTGAATCTACAGCGCTAATAAAATTAAATTATATAGCAAGACTGGCATGACAACAAAAATAGATATTGTAGAAAACTTTTCTAGAACACAACCTAGAGCCCATAATTAAAACGAGGAAACATTTCTTACCTTCACTTCTGTCTGAGGATTTCTCTGATTTTGACGCAATTGCAGCCTTGAGTTCGCCAATTGTTTGAAAAATACACTGATACACATTGCATTTCGAATACCCCGCTCCCACAGCTATGGACAGCCGATTGTGCCATGTTTGAAAATGCCTACCGATGTCGTATACTTTACTAAGTGTAATGGTCATTATAAGACTCATTCTGTGACTCATAGGTCGGTGCTATGCTCCAGGTAACATTATTTTTGTTACTGAGATGTCTATACTGCAGAAAGAGCGCTTCAGCAAAAAAAAAAAAAAGTTAGTAATCAAAAAATGTTGTTTCCCACCCTGAATGGGTCATTTTGAATAAATTTTAGAGAAATCATAATTTTTTGCCATAGCGTCCTAAATTACTGGGTACAACCATACGCAGATAGAATTTCAAACGTAAACAATATTATTTATTTTCTTCATTTCAGTGGAAGTAATTAAGAAATTATTGGGTTATAATTTTGGGGTCATCCTGTATTTAACGAAAGTAAATAATGATTACAAAATATAAACACATTTTAATATTTCCAGAGCTAAATTATAGGTTAACATAATGTTATTTCAGCACCATAATGATTACTCTCCCTTGGTAAATACCATAATATTGCATTATCATTATATTCCAAACAGTCAGTTACTTATTTTGTGTTAAGCACGCTCAGAAGTTTCAATAAAAATTGCCAAAATTATAAAAAAAATCATTTTTACTTGGATAAATATGGAAAGGTTTCATTGATATATTGTTTCAATTTGTCTCTGCTATGAAACAATATTGAGTCGTGAATACTATCTAAAACATCAAATTCTATAGTTTACGATTTTGACGAGGGCGGAAATTCGTGAGAAAAGTTGTTGGTGAAGAACAGAATAGTAAAAGAACAATATATTCGAGTTCGCAATTTATTTTCACAAATATGTTATTTTAACTACCTAATGTTTGCCAAAAGGTCATTCAAGCACATTCTAATAATGTATGATTTATTAAAAAAAATATTCATATTTCGCGTTCATTTATACGAATCTGAACTTCATATACATTTGCCTTTTATCCCCTTTATTTTTTCAAATCGGGTACATCAATAATATCGAACCAAAATATCAATTACGGCGCAAATCGATTAATTGAATATGTGTTAATTGATATAAACTATTATTTACTGAATTAAAGAGGCATGTCAATGTTATTATTATATTTATTATTAAAGTTGTTAGATATATAATTTCCAATCGTATCCAAATTTTGTTAATATAGTGAAAAGGTTCGTCGCAGTTATCATTAAAATTGAAATGATAATTGATAATAATTCTCGTTAATTATATATACGGCATTTTAAAATTCATTTGCAGTTTGCCATTCCATAACCATAAATCAATATATATTAACTAAGCTTTAAATTCAATTGATCGCAATTACCTTCAGTTGCCTATTACATAACATCCTATATTCAAACGGCAACAAGTATTGCTTCAGTTGTTCATGACAATTGGCGTTCTATATTTGATAAACTGAACAATTTTGTGATGTTCTAAGTTTTTATCTTCACTGTGTTAGAATATGTCAAATTTGTGAAGAGCGGAAACTGAAAAACAATAAATGAACAAGATGGAGAATGTTTCTATTAGTTACTGGGATGACATAATGACAACAATCTCAGATAATTTTACAACGGAGAGAGCTAACATAACGTAAGTGATTTTCTAACAAGGATTGTATTTTGGGGTCCACGAACTATATCATATTTAGTAAAATATCCGTTTCTTTAACTTATCTATCTAAGTACAATACCAACCACGAGAATACAAATCTGCGCAGTTGACTTTGTTTTCAAGACGTCTCCAAATAAATAAATTCCTAACTTTATACGTTATTGATCTTTGTGTCTATAAATATACGTTTCCACGGCAATTAAATTAAAAATTGAACCATAAATTGAATATAATTTTATTTAATTTCTTGTATCACAATTGTCCGCCCATCGCTTAATTTAATTCATCTTGCTTAAGGGGGCGTTTGAAACGAAATGGATTAATTAATATATATGTTTATTATTTTAGGGGAAATCCGGATGTAAATCTTTTTACATATTCTGAAGGAATAATTCTGGCTGTATTCGTTGGCTTGTTTTCGGCGTTTGGAATTTTTGCAAATGCTGTGACATTCTTTGTAATTGCCAGATCAGATAAGTTGAAAAAGTAATAATATTATATTTTGCTTTTTTTATAACACGATAAACTTCCGAAAGAGTCATGAAGCATATATTTTTTTTATACCTATTTACATATACAAGTAAATGACACAAATATTTGACTGAACGCTGGCATACTTGGCTGGCGAAGGTGAACGTAGATTATATCTGCTTAATTGGAACAACGTTTTCCACAAGCGAAAGCATACAGGTCGATTTGCCTGCAAAACTGCTAATCCTAAATAGTTTCATAATACGAAATGTAATCCCGATAATTGAAGTTAAGTTCATAGTTCTAATTGTTTTCAATTCAGATCTCCATTTAACATTATGTTGATGAGTCTCTGTGTTTCTGATTTTTTATCAGCATGTTACAGTCCATTTGTGCTATATCGTCGAACCTTCGGATACTCTAAATATTCTCTTCCAGTTTTCTTCTGTAAGGTATTGTAGCTCATACGTTAATTTTATTTAGTTTTATAGTAGATCACAGCAAAATCTAGTTTTATATATATATAATGAAATATCAACAAACTGCTTACTACATTTGTAAAGTGTTTTTCAAACTATTTGTACCTTTTCGAACAGTTGAAGCTATCATAAATAAATATTAAAAAAAATTAAAAATATTAATTTTCAGACAACACTAGCTATTGATTTTTGGACGAACAACGTAACCATTCAACATATTTTGGTATTTTTAATCTTACGAATAACCGGAATAAAATTCCCTCATCTATTGAAAAAGATCACTCCTTATATAGTAAAGGTAAACCTCTTGCTCTAAACTCTGAATTCCACAAATTGAAAGGATGTTTAAAAGAAAATATAAAATTTTTTGTTTTATCTCCATTCAGATAGTGGCATTGGGAATTTGGGTGGAGACGTTTTTAGCAAACTTTGTCTTCTACTTCTGGTTTCCTACGGTACTTCCATCGAATTTAGTTACATTTAGAAAAGCTTGTACTTCTCAATTGGCAAAGTTAGTATCATTACCTATTTTATAAATCTTTCAATAGTTTTATATATATATATACATTCTTGAACTATTTCTAACACATTAGACAAAAAGAAAATAGTATTGACTTGGTTCCTGGTTTGTATTGTTATAATACATAAAAAGTTAAATAAAAAGTTGCTCAGATCAGGTTTGATACAGTAAACAACATATGACCAATTTTTCATTCAGGGTTTCAAAATAGCCCGGGCACATACACAGCCTTGTCAAATATTCGATATATCAGATAAACACACGAGACAAATTTTGTTAATTTCTTAGTCTCTATGCATTAAAGTCGTGACTGTGTCGGGTTTATTATAACTATTCTACGACGAATTCTCAATTATCGTGTAGTATGTATACAAATACATAAAACATTATATTTGTATGATCTCAGGCTAATTGTCTTACGGCGATATATGCTTTTCGCATTTCCGATATTTCTGTACTTTCCAATATGTGCCGTTGCTCTTCTTTCGTTTTATCTCGTAATCCTGGTAGCCACAAGAAGGAAAAGTATAAAAGGTAAATGATTAAAGCTATTATTATTCAACCATTGGGATTTAAAGTGCAATAACAATGTAGTCCTATAAACAAGCCGCAATTACAGCCAGATGGAGCAAGCTATTGCAAATTTAATAAAATGACTGTTGAATGTTATAAGGCCTGCAATAAACGTCACTTAATTAATTAGCGCGGGAAAATACGATCAAAATTTATATTTGTTGTGAGTTCACGAGCACCTCTGAGCACGTCACTGACCGCTCACAGTAAACATAATCAAAAATGTCCTCGCTCAAGCAAGCAGAATTACACTTTATCATGTAGGTTTTATGTGCTTTTCAATTTTAGGAAGCCTTATTTTAACGTTTTGAGATTATCGTATTTTTTATATTTTCCATTGGCAGATAACAGATCAAACACTGATGTTAAAAAGGAGAATTTCGCTTTATTGCAACTTTCATTTATTCTTGCTTCATTTCTGCTTGGATACTTACCTGATATAGGTGAGAAAATATGATCATCTTATATTTAAATTAATATAAACCGAATTGCCATATTTTTAAAACTTGGTATTCTTATCGTTCGTTGGAAGATTGGAAAGAATTTCCTTGGCTCAAACAGATTGCCACTACCATCGTTAGTGCAACCTAATTATATAAACTAGAGGTTGACGCAATGGCGGTGTGCCTGATGTCGTCATTTATGCTAAACTTATAAATGAAAAGAGCAGGCAATAATTGGGCCACATTAACAACCCGCGGCTGCATTTCGTCTCACATATATTTTAACAGTTCATAAAACACAACGAGACGATGCTTTTATTCTAGAAATAAGTCGGCTCAGGCGGTCAGCTCGTATTTTTGTCAATCTCCCTGATTTTGATCAGTTCCATTGGTATCGGCCCCTCACATAATAACACGTTTGAGTCAGTTGTCCCCTATACCAATAAACCCCTTTCTCTCAGCGCGATTGGCTCAATTGAGATTTTTTTTCATTTTCTTCCAAACTTTTTCCTTTTTTAGTCTTTGTGAAATGTATGTACTTTTGCGTCAGGGATTCCAACCCAGTTTGTGGCATGGATTCTACGTTTTTTGCCCGCGTTACATGATATAGTGTTTCGTTACCAGCATATTCATTATACGCTGGCGCAGTTCCTATCGTATGGTCGTAAGCTGATGCTAAGTCACTTTCTGTAACGATAGCCCTTTCACTGCCTTGCATTACTTCCTGCAAGTAAGCCTAATCTTCTAATTTTCTGGCATATGGTCCATATACTTTACTCCATTTTTTCCCGAGATTATGGTATTTTTAGGTGAATTAAGTTCTGGCGGGACATGGGCTTCTTTTGCAATGGCTATCTCCTCAGCGCTCAACCTTTGTGATTCTACTCTTACTTCGTTTGACGTGCCTTCTTTCAATACATAATTTCCTATTGGTTCGCACGTCGTAACTTGTCTATTTGGTTTAAGCATGACGAAAGATTTGCCTGCACTCCGTGCTTCAACCTGGAAGTCCAAGACTTTACCCCTCGAGTCAGGGCTCGGGCTCTATCCTACGGATTCGGCCACTTTTTGTTTGTTTTGATATCTGACCTTTTGAACTCCGTTCTTGGCCAGAAACGCTTGGTGGATATGTACTTACTTTAGACTCTATAAGTTGCCCTTTCGCGTCGGACCTTACAAAAAAGTCGTCACATAATCCGCCTAGGCCTTTTAGACTCATGGTAAGGGGTGGGCGGTATTCCCAACTTTGCGGGTATGCCTGTTTTGATGTTTCCATTGTCATTAAGTTCGGTACGCTACCGGTATCAGCAAAAATGTGGCTCCGGTTCCATCAACCCTTAAATACATTAGTTCCCCCCCCCCCCCCCCCCACGAAAAAAAATCAATAAAATTTATGTCATCGGGGTTTTTCGGCATCCCCAAAAAAGTGAACAGATGCAGGTTTTCATAGTTCATAATTTTTTAAATATTTACAGGGTAACGTTTTTTCGGGAAGTTGATGGACAGGTTCTATCAACTTCCGTACTAGTTTTCCGCTAAATCCAGGCCTTGCTGCATCTCTTGTTCAGTCCAGTTGGGTTGATATAGTTAATCGGGGCTGTTGCTGCACTGGTTGTAGCTTGAGTTTGTAGCGAGTCCCAGTGCGACCTCTTTTGCCAATGATTTCTATCCCGGGTCTTTGGTCTGTATCCGAAATATCTCTCACACAGGCTAGCTTTTTATTCTAATGTTGGAGACCCTTTTGAAACGAGGTACTTATTCAACTCATTTACATGGCGTGACGAAACCTTCAGCGGGTTTTCACCGTTCAAGAAACGGGATCACTTTTCCCACATTCCTGTAATACACGCTCAGGCAATTTTCTCGTTCTTGGCTTGATTACCCATTCTTTCCGAACATTTTCGCACAATACGTTAATATTGATCCATAGTATTGCTTTTGCCATGAAGTTAGTCGCGATGTGCCCAGGAGCCTTGCACAGGTAACACACTGATAGTGATTGACCGTTACTCGGTGTGATATACAGCCCAAGCGGTGCGAAAATGTTTGGTTGCGCTAAAAAATTATATGACCCACCTTCTTTATTTGTTGTTATCATAGAATATTTTTCAACACTGATCGGGGTTGTTACTTATCGATCTTGAGAGCGGTAAGTATGTTGATAGGTATTTGTCTGTCTGTCTGTTTGTTTGCTTGTTAGATGAACGCGATATCTCACGAAGGCGAGGTTGAATCTGCTCCAAATTTTGCATGTGCATTCATCATATCTCGGACCAGAAGCCTATTGATTTAAATTATGTCGTATAATTAGCGAGTAAGGCGCGACCGCCATATAAACTTGCGCAATAATAAAAAGCACCACAATAAGGCGATAAAGAGCAATAAATAAAATGACGGCTCAGACATCATATACAGAGACACTATGCAGAGGTGAATTTCCTTTGTTTATGAGTGAGTGCGCTTCATCTTTCTTTACGCGAATCGTTATAGTAAAATACCGCATACTACTTGTAGCTCATTTTAACAACTTTAAAACATTTTTTAGTATATCGAATAATGGCTATCTCGTGGCCAAGACTTTATGGAAAGGGATATCACGGTAGAGTACCATGGCAGCATTCCATGGCGGCACACATGCTTTTAAGAATCTCGGAATGTCTCAACCCTATTTTCTACAATCTAGCATCCAGGTAATATTACACATTCATGTACATTTCAAATTCATTAAGGCATTAAGCTGTCTTCAAAAAAGTTACGCATTGTAACTATGTCTATAAGAAGTTTATAAGAGATAATCGCTGGGGAGGGTTGGACTGCTACCAATAATAATTAATTTACCAAGATATGGTTTACATATATTTCACTTCAGTTAATAATTTTACACAGTGCCATGAGAGCAGAAACAAGAACAGTTCTCAAACGGCTTTTCCGAAAAGAAGAAACAAAGATACAAAGGTCGACGGACGTTGATACACACACCAAAGAGTCATCAAAGCAGCAGACAACAGTATAACACATGGCAACAAAGTTTATCGCACTGCTTCGTACACATCCAATTACTTTTTGCCTATCTAGAATTAATTACTAACTGTGCTGGCTGATGAAATCGGTAATTTTAATTCCCAGGAATCGCAGTTGCTGTGTTTTAATGTGAGATATCAAATTATATTTTAAAGCAATATAGTGACATTGCATTTTATTCATATAATGGATATTTTACATTAGCTGTCGAATATAGTCCACTCCGTTGTTGACTAAAGTTCTCATTCCGACAACATATCCTCTGTTAAGCCTCACTATTTGCCGCTAATGTATAAAACGATAATATCGGTCGGAGACCGAAGATTATCGATCGAAACTGTGGTTTCGATCCATGACTCTATAGTGACACCGCGTGCCCCATCACTGATTAATTGATAACTCGCTAATTATACGACATAATTCATTCAAAATCAATAGGCTTCTGGTTCGAGATAAGATGAATGTACATGCAAAATTTGGAGTGAGATAAAAAAAATCGCTTCCGTGAGATATCGCGTGCATCTAACAGAAAGACAGACAAATACCTATCAACATACTTACCGATCTAAAGATCGATAAGTAATAAACCCAATATCGTTTCATCTATGTACTTATTACCTATCGATTTTAATCGCTAAGTATGTTGATAGGTATTTGTCTGTCTGTCTGTTAGATGCACGCGATATCTCACGAAAGCGAGATTGAATCTGCTCCAGATTTTGCATGTGCATTCATAATATGTCGTACCAGAAGCCTATTGATTTAGGATGAATTATGCAGTATAATTAGCGAGTTATTATTTAATTTGTGTTGGGACACAAGGTGTCACTATGGAGTAGGAGCGCTGTTTTGGGGGATCCCCTAACTTTCGATCGATAAGTCTTCGGTCTCTGAGCGATATTCTCGTTCTGATGCCGCTAGAAGTTGTTTTTATTATTTTTTCAAATTTTATCTGTGTATTATGGGGCCCTATATTTAGTGAATAGTTTGCTGTTTGTTTAATTCGAAAAGAATACGTTTTATTTTATTATGTTTGATCTCCTTCGCCACGCCTGTGCGTCGATCTTTTCAGCAAAATCGAAGTCAGTGCTCTTTCGGTTTACCTTAACGATGAGCGTCTAGTTGGTAATGAATTGAATTGCTTTAGCGGTGGGACTCGATTACAAAATTCGGATTCTAAGCCTTTAAATTATTAGATAACGATTGATTAGTCACTGGGTCGTTGTATTCATGTGAGTATTGCTATCGTGTTTTTGTGCGTTTTCAAAATCTAAAATGAAACTATTGCCTAATTAATGATCACGATAGACTTAAATGTATTCTATGTTGCCCGTATATAGTGTGAAATATATTTATAAAAAATGAAAACGCGTAAGGTTTTTATGTTATTGTGATAAAAAATAATCACAAAGAAGCTTTTCAATGAGGGATACATCTGAATTTTGGTTGGGTGGAAAGTTCAAAGAAGTTCATATTGTTGGCACCATTGTGATCATCAGGGTTGGGCAGTTACGAAACATTGGTGAAATCAAAACAAATTTTTTTCTTCAAAACAAAATTGAAACGAAACATAAGTTTTCACAAGTTTTTCACTAACAATAAAACATGGCTATTGTGACACATGGAGCAATTAGATTATAGAATTTAATGTATAATAGCAAATATATTCAAGGATTAAATCCACATGAAATGAAGCAATTGAAGATAGTTCGAGAGCATGAAATGATAATACAAGGCATTCATGTATGTTATTCTTTCCGCAAAAGTTTGTTGGCAAAACAGTGACCAAATAAAACGAGAATAATACGATAAGGACTGCACAAGTGAAATTTTACAATCTTCTACTCGTATATGATAGAAACCGGTTTAAGAATTAGTGAAACGTGAGAGAAAGGCTTTCATTTACAACATTTGAACATAAATCATTAGTCAAACTTCTCCTTCTGATAAACTCGTTACCTGTAGTCCACTAACTGATGAATATTAAATCAACGGTAGGTATATCAATCCAACCTTTTAGCTCAAATGTTGTTTACTATAAGATGGGTATAATAATTTAATTGAACATTGAAAATATTTGGTGCCTATTTCGACAATGGTATTTTCAATGAGTGTTTTTAAATCGGTCTACATTTTCGAAACCATTGTTTTTATTCAAAATACTTAACCGATGCAAAAAATCCATGGACTATCAAGTTAACTACATTCATTGCTTGTTACTTTGGCCCTAAAAGCATTAAATTCTATTGGTTAGGTAGCATACTGATTATCATGAAATTGCAATTTCACAGATTACGGTGCAAAATTATTATTTCTATTATACTAGAATATGTGTATATATATATAAATAAACATATAAATAATACTTCAAAATTTATTGACGTTGATAAAATTATATGCGTCTCATTTTCAGTATCACCATATGTTTCCAATTCAGGATCATAAAGAACAACATATTGATACCTATCCGAGTTAAATTCCGTTCTATTGAAGTCGTCACTTTTTACAGCAAAAAAGCACACATACTTGACTTTTATTTTACATATATATACTATTGCGATTTTAACTACTATTGATTCAATCTTTACTATACAGTTCGATTTCAGCAATATTTTAACTTTGGCGAAATTTCGATTTCTCCTTTTCTTAGGCCGATGGTCATAGAAAATATTAGAATTTGGATACTGTATTGTCATACAAAATATTTGAAATGTTTGCCCATATGGAATTCAACTAACATAAATGCAACATCACTTATTCGAATTTACGACTCAAGGTTTAGCAACTGAGCAAACCCAAAACTCAAAGTTACAGAAAAAGAACACACAGTTTTACTAGAAGCCGCTGGGTACCTAATCAGGCTATCTATCCCGTGGTAATTTTTCCAGGTTATATATATATATATATATAGCATTTTATATGCAGATGCTGGACTGACTAGAATAAAAAGACTGACGGTTTATATAAAATTGTTTAATATTTAGGGGGAAAATACAGTAGTTCGAACGGAGGAAATGTTGAATGAAAACAACACAAACCAGCAATTTATACGGTACCATCGCATGTCGCACCGGATGGTCATTATTTTCGAATTCATCTCAACAGTTGGTAAATTATTCCGAAATGATATAACTATAAACAATTGTATAACTATGGCAAAAACAAAAGATGGAAATTACAGAAAGTTGCCACAGCTACCAGCCTAAGACACAGAATGTAGGATTTCAATAATGAACGACCGATAAGACAGCTTAACCATATGGGGCATCACTGCCTGTCGTCCGGTTATCAGTTCTCGTAAGATTTGTTAGCTGGTTATTCGTTTCAGCGCACTCCGATCGCTGATCATTTAGTTTCCCGATCCTTCAGATTGTGTTATCCAACAACCGCTTGGTGAAATGAAATTATATATACTAATATACAAAGTGCTATCACCTCTAAACTGAAATATTCGCAAAACTGTAGGCATTTTCCAATAAAGCATGTTGTATTTACAATAAATATACTTTCACAAGACTGAAAAATTGAAAAGAATATTCTAGAGTCATATAAAAATAAGCGCACCAGCGACTTGTTCAGATGGCATGGAAAATCATTTGGTCTGTAAATGTATAAGTGGACAAAATTATGAACATAGGCATGCATGTATAATATGCGACCTTTTCCTAGCTTGACTACATCATCTCACAACTTCAGTCTTTCCGTGATATCACCCATGCTCATATTCTTAGAAAAAGCACGAAACTTTCATAGCAAGGTAGCTACATATACTAGCAAGGTTATACTACTCATATTACTTGCAAAACCAAATCACTTCACCAAAAGATATAACAGCCAGCTAGAGTGGAATAATAAATATAGTTTTGATAATCATCCTTGGTTTATATAACTCAGTAGAGTGAAATAGACTTTCAGTTGCTGGATTTTGATGCATTGTTGCACATTTGATAAGATAGTGTAGACAAAATAATTTTGTGTAATATCTGTTCACACCCTGTTCTCATAGAACCAGAGTAATGCTTTAGTGATGTTCCATCGAGTGATAAGCGATATGAAATAAGTTGTTCCCAGTAAGAGTAATGGAGAAAGCAGGACAATGCTTTTCTTCACGAATGGTAGAACTGAAAAAACAAGTAACTAAGCAGTTTACAAGGCGCTCCAGAAGTGTGTGTACCAACATGGAGGTAACCAATTTGTTAGCCTACTTTACATCAAGTTTTGTAAAGGGCTGAAACCTATGGGCAGGGCTATACACTTGGCTAACACAGACAGTCTCCAAACTCATAATAGAAATAAAATAAGGAAAATCGGAATAAAATTATGGCCTAACCCTAATCTGTTACACACACTACGAGAGTACCATTTACAATGGGATTAATCTGGATATAGCCATGATCAGAAATGTATGCCAATTAAAATAAGATTGTTACGCCTCCAGAATTTGACGAAAAATCCGAAGGAAAATGTCATTCAAAATGATATTTCAATAATATTCAAAAGACGCAGGGCGTTCCCAAAGTAATGTTTTCAGTTTTTAGATAAACGAAATACTCACCATTATATCCCAAAAAAGTGATATAAACATAATATCCGAGTGCTGCAAGCCAGAATGTATTTCCCACCAATACAGAAAGAAACCAATCCTTCACAATAAGAGCTAATCAGAAAAATATTCAAAATGTTTAAATATACGGTATACAAAATACAATTACAAAAAATTTATTCCTTGATCAATTCATTTTCAAAATAAACAAAGGATCTAAGTTGGGAGGTCTAACAAGATGTTGTTAGTATTGGGGCCTATTATTTCCAAACCAATCTCAATCTTCAATCATTATAATACAAGGGAAATTGGGTGTGAAACATGAAATAAAAGGGAGGCAAGGATGACAATACAACTATGAATATTTATCGATGAAATGAATATATCAAACAGCTGTACAGAGCAATTACAAAATATTCACAACACTATAATATGCACAAATTTTATCAAGTTTTTCAAAATGTTGAGCTAAAATTTCTGTCACACAGTAAATTTTAACCTACTGAGAATAGTTGTATTACCTATATACCGGGAAAGAATTAAAAAAACATGGTAGATAAAATCAACTCACGATTTATGAAAAACAATTGCAGGCAATGTAAAATCATCAACACAGGAAAGAAGGCATTCAAGTGAACATCAAATGCATAAGCCCATTCAACATCAGCACCCCCCTTGATGTACCGAACAAGATATTTATTGCTGATTAACCTGTTATTGACAATGGAAGTATTACTGACCGAAAAAGGACCAATGATTATATTTACTAATGGCTGTTATATTTCATGTTGTGCAGAAATCGATATTCTACGAATCCAACGAATTTTCAATACCAAAAGAAGAAAAGTTCTATTTTTGCTATTTCACCCCAAATTTGCTGATTAGGATGGGATTTACTGTACATATTTAACCTAGGTAGAGAGAAAAGCCGATAAGAAGGCTTAATCATATGGCACACCACGTCTTCTCGTCCAGTTACCAGTCCATGTCGGCTATGGAAATAGTTAGCCAATTATTTGTTTTCAGATGCATGGATTTCATGGTGGACCCTACGGCGACGAGTAGTCCAGCAATCACCTCGCACATGATTATCTCCGAATGTGATTCGAACCCGCGAGCCCACACAGAGATGAGGTGGCGAGCATATTACTAACACTCATCGCTCATCGATAAAATTCATTAAATATTTGGCTGCATTTTCGTTGAAACTGCAATGGTCATATTACTAGTCACCACACCTATGGGTTCATATAATTGAGCATTGCTTAATATAAATTATTATTGGTGAAAGACCAAAGTTTGTAATCTGAATTAAATATGTAATTCTCAGAATTAATCGAAACAGTGTATAATGTTTAGAGGGTCAAAGCATAACCCATTCTCAACAAATAAGCAGGATTTATATTCTCAGTTGTAACTGCAACATAAAAATTATCAAAATGATCATCAGAGTTCAACAGAGACTTATCCATATCAGAAACTACTATTTCCATATAGTATGAATTGAACACACATTTAAAATTAGTTACAGTAGTATCATCAATTATTTTGATGGATGGAATTAGCATCAGATGTGTAATTTAAAATAAAGCCTCTCCTGGTATACTATTGTGAAAATATTGCTTTTCGGTCGATTGTAATTAAGGAAAATATCTATGTAGCTTCCGGATTCTCAAAGGTCCCAACAAAAGATTTTCTCTGTTATGACTTATGAGTGAATTTTACGGGACAATGCAGCATAATCTTATTTTCAGACTGTTGTACAGTAAATAGCAGGAAGAAAGAAATAATGGCCACCTCATCCCCCAAGACAACAATGTCACACTTACCACATAGCAGTAGCAATAAGTATTCCAACAGCAATACAGTCTATGAAAACAACCCACAACAGAAGCTTGAATATCTTGAACCAAGATAGTCCCATAGTAAGTCCGAATCCGATAGAAGTAACTAGAAATGAATGAAAAAAATCAATCCAAGCAATAGTAAACAGTATAACCGATAGCAATATAACAAGCAATGATCAAAATAGTATGGTCAGATCAGGATTTCCATATTTATCCCAGGAGAGAGGAAAGACGCCTTAATTATATAGCAAACCACGGCCTCTCGTCCAGTTACCAGTCTGTGTCGGGTATGGGATTAGTTAGCCAGTCATTTGTTTTCAGATGCGCCACACTGCCAAGCCCTAATAGCAGTGGCCCTTAATAAGAGAGAGATATATAACTTATCATCTTACCACAAAACGCAATGCTCATCAGAACTAAAAAAGCAGGATCATCTCTTGCAAACTGATTTTTTGTTTCTAAAATATAAAGAGCTTCATTTCGATATGGAAGGTATGCGTCTCATTTTAACAAGCATGATTTATTAACACAAACTAAACAAACACGACATCTGATCAAAGTAAAATACATTTCTATTTCGTATAAACAATAACAACATGATGTGATAAACATACATTGTCAATGCACAAACCTTACAAGCAAATATCAATTAATTATAGTGTTAATTATAATAGGTTAATTACTTATACATGAACAGTTTTGATATCAGAAGCTAAATTTATTAATGTATGTCAGAATGGCAAAATAAATTGCATAAAAACCAGTATAATGAGGACTCATACTAAATGTTCAATGTATAGCACTGTTATATTATCAAGCAACCACAGATAAATTCAAAAACGCTAGAATGATAAAAATGGTGGATTTACTTGAATCTTGCCTTGTACCAAGCTGTTTTGAGAATTTAATAAAAATAAGTAGCCTATACCTATTAGAACTAAAATAAGGAAAATTGGAATAAAATTATTATATTTTAAATTTATTTTTTTTAAATTATTATTCCTAACCCAAACCTGGTACACATACTACGTACCGGTGTCAGCCATCTCTATTATCTCTACTAGCTTATTAAAAATGACAAATGAAAAAATGAAAATTAAAAAAATTCAGAATGTCTCCTTTGAATCAATAACTTTCTGAAACTAAAAATACTTACGTTTTCTGTATTGGAAGTTTCTGTATCTGTGATGAAAAGATATTGTGTATAAGAATGTGACAAAACAACAATAGATAAGAAACACATCTAATGAATCTTGTAGCAGTATCAGACAGTCCGCCAGGCTGAATCGTACCGAATATTCAAGATATTTCATGCAATATGAAACAAAGCACTTTATCGCAAAGGAAATCTTTATAAAGTGTTTTAAATCAACAGCAGGATAAACTCAAAGTAAACATATATTGTTGATTTCATATATATATATAGTTCCTAGTTCTCTGAGCATAATAACTTACACTTTATGAGGAGCAATGAACAGATTCAACATTTGCCAGAGTGCAAATTCAAAATCCATTTGTCGAAATTTGAATATTCGTCTCATGTATTTCTTACACTTTTCCATGCCAGTTGCACTTAAAATAAAATTACATATTTTGAAAGGTTAAATTTTATATCCATTTGTCTACCTACTTCCAATGACCCAACTACAACTAACAGTGGGTGGTCGAACCCAAATATGTTAGAATGAGATTGAAATCCATTGGACAATTCCTATGTCCTTCAACTCATCCATTTGGATTGGATAGGCAATTGTCAAACCAAAAAGATTCCCATCCGTTCGAAATTGGGAGCTCTTTCTGTATCAGTGGATATTTTTTATAGCAGAATTCACAATGAATGTGCAAAAATACCAGAAAATAAACAATTAGGTTCAGTTTCCAATAAATTCTATTACATTAGACGCACAAAAACAACAACTATTGAGGGAATAAAGGTCATTGAAAGTCTCTGGTAATAAAATATGTCCTATTTCACAGAGATATACCGGTACTAGAAATAGCAAACATATAAACAAGAGATAATATAATATTACTTATTATTTAACAGGTAGTTACTGAAAATTTTACCACAAAGGAAATTATATTTTATAACATTAATTAAGTCTTAACTTCAGAATATTTTATGTTGAAACTCGTGATTTTGAGAAGTAAATTCAAGATTGGACAAGTCAAACAAAACACAAAGGTTCCACTAAAAGACTTACTGCTCATAAATATTGGTGTTTTTTGACGGTTTTACACTGTTTTTAAGCGTGTTAGCAGGGTTTGGAACTTGAACAGAATTTGATTAATTTTTTTGTTAAGTGTGGGGGCACAATTTAAATTTCACAAATTGATTTTTAGATGACGTAGTCAGGTGGTGGTTAGAAATGACATATGAATATGCAAAATTGTTACACCACCCCCACTAGAAATTATTTTGGTTCGAAACTACACGAAGCCCGTTGTATTCTTACTTACCATGCTTTACGACCAACTCCAGAGAATTGCACATCTTCCATTGTATAAGAATAATCATTTATAGATCCCTGACTATGTGAACTTTTCAAACTTCGGCCAGTGTGAGATGACCCAGGATATGAATATACAGAACTGGGTGGTGATACATAGTTATTAGGCTGCATTTTACTATTTATTATCTTGTACAATCACTGCAAAATATCAACAGAAAAGATTAACAATTTAAAGCAGTAAAGGTATTTCTGTATTCTTATGATCACTACCATACAGCCATAACCATAGAGTAAAAATACCAGCTTTTCATTAATCAACTGCTTTCTTTCATACCTTTTCTTTCTATATTTGGCTCAGAAAATGAAAAATAAAAACTAGAAAACCTGCCAGTCTAAATGTTAGTGTCTGAGAGTGAGCAAGAATGTAAATAATAGTACTAACGATAAAGTGAAGCTAATATTTGTGAAGGGTACTTCAATGAACCACCAGGCTGGGTTAATGTTGTCACCCAAAAAAGAAAGTCTGAAAGTGAGATTGGCTTATCAAATTTTGAATATAAATTGTAATTTTGTGTTGGTAGTACTTGTTATTACATGTATTAAGATAAAACTATAGTTGTCCATAAGAAAAAGAGATGATATACGAAGCAAGTGAATTACCAGTATAGCCTAGCTACATTGCGTGATTTTTGGTGACATAGTCAGGCTGTCAGATAGGGTTGCCAACTTTGTGTTAAACCATTCCGGGACACTTTAATCTTAATGTCTAGAATTCGAAAAATGATGCAACAGAAGCTTGTGAAACACGAATAACGTCAAAAGAAACAGTGCGCGCTGTGCTTCGTGCACCGTTATTTTCCAAACTGCAAATAAATTTATGATAATCAACGAAAGTTGTGAGATGTTGATTCTTTAACGCATAAATGCAAAATAAACTAAAACAGGGAAATGTACTATTTTCACTAGGTAGATTTAAATATTTAACAAAAAACACAAGAAATTAGTATTTTTGGTATTTAAATTTTTATTGTGATTTTGCTGATTTAAGAAGATCTTTGTTAGTTTTCACAAATTTCAGGTTAAAATTTGTAATCCTTACGGAAGTATATAAATAATCAACTCTCCCTAAGACAAGAGCTGTCAGCAAGGCGTCCTGAAACCAGACGGCTGTGCGAGCCTGAAAACTGACTGAATACCGGTAATGAAATCCTGGTCAAAAAAGAGCCTCACACTAACAGTGCATTATAAACTAAAAACAAGAAACACAAAATATTGTTACACGCCGCAACTTCATTTAAACTAAATTTTTCAACAAATCTCACCGGATTACCGGTACAGCACAGGCAGACAGGTGGTACCGGTACCGGTACCGGTACGGTAACAGGTATGGAATATGGTAACATATTTACTTAATCAAACACATGCATAAAAGAGAACAATATGAAATCCTAAATAAACCCCGAGATGCCACAGACACTCTTAAATTTTGAATATTTACTTGAATAAAACACAATCATACAAAGGAAGAACAATAAAAAAATCAGAATTACCGTACACCACGGAAAGCCACAACGACAACGACTACTGTATACAATTACCAACTTCATGACCTTTGACCGATGCTGACAGCAGCTTTTTCACTATCAGTTCGCGCGGTTGCTCTCCGTATTTCGCACCTGCTTTGCAAAGCTCGCTGTGTGATAAGGTTGTACAGTCTTTTTGATACCATGCTTTCTCTCCACCTAGTAGTTAATTTGCCTGCAACTCGATCAATGATATCGAATTTCGTGAGCAATTGGTCCGGCTGGTGAGGGTTGGATAGATATCGATTGCCTTGCAGGCGAGTTGAGACTCATGCGACCGTCGGCTTCCTATTCGGCTACGAAGCTCACATTCGTCGTCTAAACAAAATTCAGAAACGCCAACAAAGGCAACGTCGCCATAGAAAATGTGACAATACGGACAACTTATCAATCTTCTCGGTAGTCGAGTAGTTCATGTAGTCGAATTTCCTCCCTGGTACCGACGAGAGTGCCCACTGCCCAGGCAATATTTCTACAGTTGTAGTTGTTTGTGTTCATATACCCGTAAAATCAGGTTTCAACGTAGTATTATAAGAAGACGCACATTGGAGACATAGCGAGCAGTGCCATTTAGTAGAGGCATAGCGGACATAGCGATTTCAGTAGAGGCATAGCAATTTTACTAAGAACGTTTTAGTAGAGACATAGCTTTTTTAGGACGAGCATAGCGGACATAGCCACTTTAATGATTTTAAAGAATAACGTAGAATGGATATCACGCAACAAAAGATGACTGTTTCATTCCTATTACAACATAAAATCTTTTTGCTATACGAAGCCGCGTGGAAGACCAAACTGTCATTGTACATTACAATTAGTCTTCGTAAAGTGCATATTTGTCAATGAAGCAAGTTAGCTCAATTAAGATCGTAATCGTTCTGATAAAAATGCCAATAATGGTATCATAGTTCTGCCTAATGTGAATTTCCTGTGATATATTTCTTCGCTGTACAAGAATCAATCGAGTATAAATGCTCTAGTAGTCTAGTGATTCCTGGCGTTTTTTCAAAACAAATTATTGAAAATTGTAATAATAAAAATGTAATAATAAAAATGTACACATTGGAATAAGAAAAGCGAACAGAGCAAAATTGGACTGCCAAACCGATAGGCTACTGGACAAGACCAGCAATGCCAAGAGAGAATCAGTTTAAGTGATGACCACGCCTTTCACATTACCCGAAATTAAATTGAAGTGACAACAACAAAGTGAGACAAAAATAATGTATTTGAATACATGAGAAAATAAAAAAAGACAAGGAGGAAAATCATAAATAGAACCCGGTATTCATCTCATTTGTTAGAGCTGGTTATCATCAGCAACAAAACATTGTCCACTCTCTTTATCGTCGGATGGTTGCTGAAGATTACTTTTCTGCAAAGTTAGAGAAAAATTTAATTAAATACCAAAACAGCTTATCTACAAGAGCACTCTTTTTCGAATAATTAAACTGTCTGTGTATCCAAAAACCATATATTCTTATGTTCTTACGACCATATGTTCTTACCTGCTCAATTTCGTCAATGTCGCACAACAAATCGGTTATATCAAGACTATCACAGTCTGAAGACATTGATGAAAACAAATCGCTTTCCTGAAATTAAGTAGACGTAACAAAATGAGGAGATTGTAAGAAATTGCTTCGTATTAATTCACTTCATAAACGTCATAAGTAGCAATAAGGTTGTGTAGCTTGGAATATGCTAGCTATTTATTTGAATGAGAAACAATAGCTTTATCATATGAAGGATAGTTTGGAAATTTACTGTGAAAAAATGATAATGGTATTATAGCAATACACAAGTAAATCATGCTAATTCACGTTATTCTGCCAACAGTTTACCACTCACTGAGTTTAACGGAGATTGTAGAATTTCTTTGATGTCTTCAATCTCTAACACTCTGTCAACTATCATGTTGATGAAATCTTTTGCTTCATTTTCAACCTAACAAATCATAAATAAGAATATATTTGAATCTATTCTATCGTTTTTTATTAAATAAAAGAAGTACTTTTCCTCTGGTCATAAACCATTGGGTCTGCTGAATATATTCTAAACTAACTATTATACGTTTTCACCTCAAATGTGTTTAACGAACCTCTTGTAAAATTGAAACTTTATCCAATACATGATCGAGCGTTAACTTAACGTCTTTCATAATCTGAAAAAAACTCAAATTATGAATAAGTAATTAATTAAATTATTTTGTGTCGACCAACTTCTACGACTTTACAGTATATGGCATACGGTATATTTACAGTACAGTATATGGTTGTACACAAAGACCACAATTTTTTTCTAATTCTTTTTTTTCCGTTTTCCCTTTAGATAAGCAATTTTCTTCTTTAATATATATAGACACCATTTAGTAGTAGTTTATAATGATAGAAAACACCACATTCAGTAACCTGCAAGTTTTCCATGCTGGATTTTTTGATGTTGCTCGGAAAAGAGTGAGCCGTGGCCGATCTTCTTTGTCGTCTCTTTTTCTACAAACCGTAATAAGTTTTTGTTTTAATAACATGTTAACTTGAAAATAATGAAATTTGTTTGCTGTTTTGAATTTATTAATTCCATATTTTTGGGTACCTTGTGCATCATGGTGCAGTGATTTGATTTCTTAACTTATTTTTATTTTCTTTACCTCGCGTGCTTCCACATATTGTTGAAGACTTGGAAGCTCCTGATTAATTTGACGAAGACCAATACCAGTGTCATCAAGTGGAGTCCAAAATGCTTCGGCGGGTGAGTAACGAGCTGCTTCTCGTGTTGGAGGTGCTGTCTTTGGACGACGGTATGTTACTTTACCCTGTTCATGAGAAGTTTTGAAACGTATAGCGCAAAGGCCTTTCATCATTAACTTGATTACTTGAATATATATAAATAATGTTGCGTATTTATTCTCTAAATACGATTACTTCTATTTGAACTCATAGTATTAGTCATATATATATAGTTGAAATATTATTGTTCATTATTCAAATTAATTTTTCTACTTCGAGATTTAAACTCAACTTGTGTTACCTTCAAATTTTCCAAAACGAGTTCATTTTCATCAAACACCATTCCTGGAAGATTCTATATAATAAATTTAATACTGCGTATTACTATTTTTGGCGCTCCCGTAGTATATGCATCAAGATGGTTGACACCGGAACGTAGTATGTGTACCAGGTTAAGGTTAAGCCATAATTTTATTCTAATTTTCCTTATTTTAGTTCTACTACGAGTTTGGGGAATAGCTAAATGATTCCCGTAGTATTTGTACCTGAAATTATGGCCTAACCCAAACCTGGTACACATACTACGTTCCGGTGTCCACCATCTTGGTTCACATACTTACTACCGGAGTACCATATTTTTTATAAGAAGGGTGAGTGTTATAAATATTGAAAGATTAATCGGGTGTTGTCAATTATACAACAGAATTTCAACGATAATCGAGCTTCTGTAATCGGGAATGCCAGGATCATTAAAGGTAGCCACCACTACACTGTGCTTGTGGCTATGTATTATCGACAGACTTATAAATGGGTCTTTACAGAAATGCAATATTACAAGAATATTTCGTCAGATATTAATCAAATATCACAAATTTGTTTAAAGACTTTATACAAACCAAACCTCGAACGATTTCGTTCTTTCAATAATTTTTACTTTTATACTCTCGATGTCCTGGAATAAAAGAGAAACGTATTCAATGGATGACATTATGGGAATAGTCTATTACAGAATACACTCTATTTTACAAACATTTCATTTGTGTTCTATCAAAGTGAAAAATAATTTATATTGAGAATATTTTGTTACGGTCTCATTTACATTTGATATCACATTGGTATTACATAATGCTTTAGTTTAATCTTTTATAACTCAAATGAAAATGATATCTCATACCAAAGGTTCTTTTTTCAGCAACTTTTCCTCCTTTTTCTTTTGACCAAACAGAACCACGAGAGAATCTCCAGATAAAACACTGACCTGCAATTAATATTATTTAGTTGAAAACGTTTAATTATTCACTGCTGTAATTATTCACTAATTTTCGTAAAATCATGAGCTCCACTTGAATAACTGTTAGGCGTCCTACCATTCATTATTTAAGAAAATTGTCACAAAAAAAACATTACAAAATCATTATTACATTATCACCAGCAGCTGTTTTATCCTGAGTTCTTTCATTGTTATAAGTCATTGGATCTATCCATATTTCATTGTCGCCGAAACCAAAATCCAGAACTATCGGATCAAAATCATCGTTCGGACGTTTTTGTCCTCCAATGCAGAAAAATGGCGACTAAAACGATAGTTAAACAGTGAATAAATCGTTATTATGATCCCAGATTTTGACATTACTGTAGAATGAAGTCCGAAAGTTTACATCACCAATATAATAAACGCTACATTCTTAAACTTGAATTTCATATTCAAATCCAAATAAACTAGTCAGACAATCGCCTGTGTGCATGAGAGTTACGAACCAGCAAAACTTGTGTCGCCAGCCACATCCACCGTTGAAGCCTCGCATTACGTTTCTGTAGAAAACGAAAAAGTCGGTAAGTTCAGTAGCTATACTATATTTCAACCCGTTCATTATTTTGTAAAATTTTACTTTAATTATGTGAATACTATTAATTCAAGTATCGCTCTCAACGCCCTACAAAATCAATATTGCTCTACCTAGGGAAGTATGATTATTATATTTGTGTGACGTCACAAACACACATTTTTATTCCGATTGAGATGAGACGACAGCAAAAACCTGATTTGAAATTTTATTTATATCTTCGAAATCGGGGAAAATTAAACAAGTGTATGTTTGAACGTTCTTCCCATATTGATATTTAGCGCCGTAGCTAATATCATTAAAGAATGTACAAAGAATTTTATCTCGGTCTCGGATATATGAGCAATGCACCGGGTAAACCCTTAATTCTCACCACGCTATGTACGCGGAGAACGAGAGATTTCTACTACTTCATCACAACTTTTAAACCGACTCTAAATATGATGAGAGCCTTCGCTCGCAATGTGTAACATGTAATTAAACTTTCATTAAATTTCAATAATGAACATCAATTAATTTTTTTTTTCAAATGTTAACAACCTTTTTTCTATCTGAACTTTGCGATGAATCAACTTCATAATCCTTTGCTCTTTTTCTGCAAAAGATCCACCTCTTCAATTTTTCTCCTACTCCCATCTTCTTTTATTCTGAATCAAATTTCTTTGCTCAAGCAAGGAACATTTTCGTATTCGAATATCTCGATAAAACAACCATTATTGTCCACGATATCTCGAAACGAATAATTTGAGATTTAGAGCTATTTCGGTGATTTGTAATGTTCTCTGTGACGTAATAATCAACTGTTACCTAATAATATTGTTAATGTCACTGTGCGGGATTTACCTATCGCTGGCAGATCACACCAACGTTAACATACAAATTACGTATATGACGTAATGAATGACGCAATAATGGAAGTAGAGATAAGGCTTTAACTACTTCGCACAAGTAAGTATATATATTGTGCGTGGTTGATAATTAAAATAATATTAAAATAACTTTTAATTACGCGATGGAGATGCATGCAGGCTATCAGTGAACAAGAGAGCAATGCTCAAATATAAAGTTACAAAGATCAAATAACTACGCCAAGGAGCCTAACTTAGGATCAAATTTTTCACAGATTTCAAGATCGTTTCACAGACACTTATTGTACTATTGTTTTATGTGCTTAAATATTGGGCCAATTTTGGAATCGAAAAAGTGAGCGGTAGTGGAGACATTAATTTTATCTGGTTTTACTTCTCAAACATATTATTATCTTTATTGATAAAACAAATCGAATGAAAATATTAATTGTATACCGGACTTCCTTGTTCTTTAATTTTCATAATCCTGAAAAATAAGTTTTTTTTTCACTTACTATCTCTTTCTCGTATACCTTCTAAGTCTAAAACATTCTCAAATTGGGGTTCGCGGTCACTTAGGGGTCCGCTAGTACAGTGTTTTTGTCTCGAAAATAAGACACCATTATGAAGATTTTATTGAGTACCAAAGGTTTGTGATTGTATCAAGTTCATTACAGGAAATATAAATAGATGTTGACCATTGTTTATGAAATGCATATGAACCTGATCGTGAATTGTTAGGAATCCACAGTGCTGTGTGGATTGTAGACATTCAGGTGAAGTCCTAAAGTTCGCATAATATGCGGACGCTCTGAACTTTCGTCTGTTTACTGAATTATACAAAGAAAGCGATTCAGAATTCGAAACTATCATGTTGCATTATAACGCGAGATGCCCTACGGCAGCGGTTCTCAAAGGTGCCGCCGCGCCGCACTAGTGCGCCTAAAAAGTTAACTAATATGTGATTGAATATTTAACACACTCCTTGAGTTTGAAAACATCCTGTGCATCATTGGTTTATGAATCGCAGATAAAGAGATGCCGTAATAAAGCAAGCTGCCTACTACAGATTGGCTAGCGCTATCTGCGCCGTCCAAACAAGTCCATGTAACCACAACGGTGAACTGGTACATTACTTACTGTCACACCTTATCCGGGCTGGCAACCGGACGATGAGCGGTGTTACATCATATGTATTAGTAATCAGGTAACAAACAAATTGTCACGGTGTTAACCAAAATAGAATAGTAAAATGTAAACTGAGAAAACCCGTCGCCGACGACGAATGCGACGTGTTATAAGAAGATATGTACGAAGTGTGCCACGAATTTCAGCATTTTACTATTTTTTTGCATCCAGCAATTTGTACTATGCCCACGCCATGCCTTGTATTTCTTGCGAGTTTGATGTAACCTTGCATAATGGCACAGATATAAGTCGGTTTCGGTAACTTGACGTGTCTCCGAAAAATGGGTCACTTTATGACTTGGTATCCCTGACCTATCATTGTCTAAATTTGTCCCCGACCATGATGCTTTATGTTTTATACCATTGGTACTTTGTTTATCTGTACAATTTTGACACCATAGTTTTTTTTCTGCCATTGGGAAAGTGAACACGGGCATATTTTGAATTTGCTTCCAGAAGCACGACTTCACCCAGCAATGAAAGGTTCGCTTTTTAACTTCTTGCTCATTTTTCTATAAAGAATTTGTCTTGACATCCAACGAAGTATATAGAACATACAGACGTGGATTATCTGACACAGTTGCACAGGCAAACGTTTCATGGCAATACCTTCGCCAATAACAAAAGAGCGAAGTTTCTGACTCATAAAAGCAGAACCTCTGTCTGAACGCATAAATGCAGACATTCCAAACGTGGTGAAAAATGCGCGAGGGATTTACTCAAACTTGTTGTGAAAACATCTGTTCATGGGAATTTAAACGGAAAACGCAAAACCTCATCGACAACACACTGCCTAAAATAGCTAGTCAGATTTGAACAAAACAAAACGACAAGAATAATTCCATTGTCCTATTTTTAATTTCACCCAAAATTTTCTTCCCAAATTAGCTAATAAAATTGTATTGCATGGTTGTGTAATTTGTTTTTCCAAGTGTCGGATTACAGAAATGTATGATCATGAAATATAAAATAGCATATATATTTTTATGTTGTAGTTTAGTATATATATATACTGTAAATCAATTCACATGGATCCTGGTGTTGATATATCTATTGTGTATTATATAATTGGACAGGCACGATAAAGAAGTAAAAGAGCAGAAAATATCAAATTTACGACCTGACTGAAAATGATTTTTGTCGCTACGCAGAACGATTTATCAAGAAAGAAGGTAAAAAATTACCCCACAAACATATTTGTTCGAACTTGAAACAAGAAATTTCATTATTCCTAGCAGTTTTTTTAAAGTTATAATTTTTTTTATATAAATATTGCAACAATTACTAAACTGTGTTGCCCCGTGTTCTAAAAAAGCCTATTGATTAAAAGATAGCATCCCAAATAGGCAAATATTGCAAAATCGAACCATGCGTGACAAACCATGCATTGACATTCAAAGTTAATATTTTTTGCCGTCAATTTTGTTAGTTCGCGTGAGATATTATAAATTTCAATGTGTACATGCTACTATTAGTTTTGGCTAATTCTATTCTTAATGTTCTCTTTTTAGGTAGATATTAGACAGGATTTACGCTTTTCTGCTTGCTCTCAATTCTTCATAACACGTAAGCAGTACCGATATAACGCAGCCCATTTTGATGTGCGGTTCTGCTCCATGTGTATGTCTGAATTTCGACATCGTATGGGCTTCCATTCAAGTCTTCTAATGAGACTTTACACCTAAGTACAAAAAATAATGTGATAGACGGAGAACATATAACTGTTAGGCATTGTCGTTCAACTGATATTCAGATATTTTATTTTCGTCATACATGAAACATTGTAAACAAAAATACTAATAAATCGAGTCCCAAAAAAACACACACAATGCTTCGACTGCAATTGACGAGGAGCCGCGAAAGACTATCAAGTCATCGTGTCAGCGACACCATAATTGCAGAAGCAAGTTCAGCAGAAGATGTCAAAAACGTCAAATAATTCAACTAGTTGTTAATTAAACATGTCATGTTGGATGAAAGAAATTTGGGAAACGTAAATTGAATCGAGAGAGAAATGTATAAATGGGAAATATAAATCGCATCGAGAGAGTAAGTCAGGAGAGAAATATTTAAATGTAAAAATATCCATCAAATCGAGTCTGTCAGAAAAGAAGTGTGAAGTGAAAAGATATGTCAGTTTTGTCTCGCAACGTCGTGCTCGAGTGAGCGCAATCACAATAATGAAATTGTTGTCAAGCATGAGGCTGCAAAGCCGAGATAGCTGAGAAAAAATTCCCAGCAACCGCAACAGTTAATCCAAGTTTGGGGTTGGTAAAGCAATACATGAATACATTTTAGACGAGTGTTAGAGCAAGGTTGAAAGCAGAATTATCAACTAGATTTTCACTGAGAAATATTAGCATCGAGATAAAAAAAAACATTTCAATACTTGTTTAAATAAAATATAGTTCTTGGAACGAATTGCAAAAGAGAGCATATTCCAAAGTTGAATGAACTTCATGGAATTTCAAGTACAATTCGAAGAATAGCAAGTCACATAATGGGAGCTTATTGGAAAATAGCCGAGTTGCATATGAGTGAATTGCATTCGTTTCACAAAATAACAAGTCAGTGCAACAGACAACTCTTTATTATGATGCTGGTGCATAATTTTCATTACCTCAATTTTATAAATATCTTTAATTTTCACCAATTATATTTTCTGATTTGGCCGAGGTCCCGCATCAGTAATAGCACGAATACCCTGGTTTTGAATAATTTCAATTAGATGCAATAAGGGTTGTTTGCTGAACCCCAAGCTGCAATACCATACAGAATATGGGTCTGCAACTAGGCAAAGTAACCATACGTAAAATTAATATGGATGTGTACCGCCGACGCTTATAAGGCATTCCATCCGACTTCGATAATTTAACAACGATGCTATTTATATGAATGTCCCAGTGCATTTTATTATCGATATGGATGCCAAGATATTTGAACGAATGAGAATTTTCGAGAATTCTACCCCTCATATGAATATTCAGACAGTCTTTATGTTTGTACTTATTGGGAGTTATCAGCATAGTTTTTGATTTATTAACATTTAATGTCAGTTTGTTAAGTTCCATCCAATTTTCTATTTTTCTATTTAACAATTTTGAAAATAATGTGGAGCTACGAGCAAGATCATTAATTAGGATTAAAAATAATGAGGTTCATAAACAAGAACCTTGTGGGTTACAAGCAAAGAATATGAGCAATATGTACAAGATTGAACATATTGGAATCTATCAGTCTTATAGTATACATAGTTGATGAGGAGTTGATTTGTTACCGCACCAATACCATAATGCCACGGATTCTAAATTAGGATTTTGTGATTGACAGTATCGAAGACTTTTGTAAAGTCCAAAAATGTTGCACTAAAATATTCTTTCTTCCTCTTCCAATTTATTATTAATATTATGGGATACCGTATCTAAAATTGCATGTGATCGGGAATGTTTGCTTTGAAAGCGAAACTGTGATTTATTCATTACATCGTGCTTCACAAAAAATTTCATTAATCTCTTGTGCGTTCGAATACTTCTGTTCGAAGAACTGAGAGAATCGATATAGGTCTATAATTTAATACTTGTTTCGGTTGTCCTTGTATAGAGCAATGAGATTTTGGCAATACATTTGTCTACGCATCATCAATGGCATGTGTCACTGAGTTGCGATACATATTCAGTTGAGACGTATTGTCCCTTAGGAATTGAGATCCTATGCCATGGCATGGGCGAATGTAATATGTATTCTTTGAGAAGGTGAATCTTGCTGAAACAGTGAGCTAAAGTTCATTAAATTCTACGGCTGTATACTGTTACACAAACGTGAGACGAATTGGAAATTAAATAAATAAATAACAAAATTGTAAAATGTGTTTGTAATAAAATTGGACAGATCCTTGAGTATTTTTTTTATTTAGCATATGTTTATTCTTTCCTTTCTAAAATACTTTGAGCTGACTACTATTATTAGAATCTACCTCATGCCGGGCCTCGTCAAGTAGCATAAAGTGATAACGCTAAATTCCCATTCTGGAGTAGTCCCAACAATGAATGACGTTAAACGCTTGCGATGTCCTTCCCAGACAAACTGCAATCGTTGCCTTCCAGGCTGTGAAAAAATTTCCCATAGATAAATGTTTGTAAGATGGCTGGATTGAAACTAATAACATAAATATTAAACATTCAGGTTGCTTTGCAAATTTATGATTTTTTTAAATATTTGAATTGTAAAAGTGCGACAAGTGGTAAGTGCAATATTTTTAACAGAGCCTTGAAGTAAATTCCTAAACTTTTCGTATTTTTAAATGGAAGTAATAGATACAAATGACAAACGATTCAATTCCAAGAGCTTTAAATGTCTACATCAGCAGCTGGTCAATGAAGTTTGAATTTTGATGGACATTGTGAAAACCTTCTCACGAGATATGATTTATACTCTAATAGTGCAACCTTTAGAGGATTTTTTATTGATAAATGTGTTTAAAATAGGCAATGAAGTTAACATTGTCAACTGCTGTCTCATTTAACATTATTTACGGCTTCCTCTACCACCAAGTCCATGCTTCTGAAAACAAATACCGGGCTAACTAATCCTATACCCGACATGGACTGGTAACCGGACGAGAGGCCGTGGTTTGCCATGTGATTAAGCGGCCTTATCGGCTTTCCTCTCCGCCGAGATAAATATGTAAATCCTATCATATTATATCTATAACTTTCGATATAAAAAAGATAGTTACGGTACGGAAACCTAATTTTCTATGTCATTCATATATCTTAATTCATGTTTTTGCCAAAAAAAAACGAGCCTTCATAGCCAGAAGGAAAACAATATAAAAAACGGAATCTCAGAACAACTTAATTTCTCACCGCAAAGTTGTCTTCCGGTGTATCCAAGTGGCCCATATAGTTAATTTTCTCGTCTTTCTCGAGAAGATAATATCTCACCCAGTTATGGAAACCGCTTGTTTTATTATTATAATGTTCTCCAAGAAAAACGTGTTCAAACCTAAAAATAATTGTTGCCGTTCTGAATAGAAAACTCGCTAACAAGATGATTGGTTGAGCGAGCATTATATTGGTTACACTTTTGATAAATTCAAGTCAAAATTATTTGAAGAAAATGCGATTTTTATCATGCTAAAGTAATTGGAAATCCATTTACAGTCTCATCTCAAAGTCTGTAAAAATACTCAGTAGCTTACGAACTACGTACCCACTCGTATCCATAGCTCCTTTTTTTCTTGAAAAATTTTCAAACCAAATTTTTCGTAAAATATTTTTAAAATCGCTTGTCCTGCCACATCCTGACAAGCCTGTGGTAAATTAAAAACCAACTATTTAAGTACACTGGGTTGTAGTTTGTGTGGTCACGTTTAAGCAAGTCGGATGGCATTGGTTATGTCATACTGAATTATCAAAAGTTTAAATCTGGTTATTCAATCATATTTGATAAAATCTCAATCAATCAAGCGTGATGAGGTTATCGCGCACATAACAATTTTCATAGACCCACAGAACTTTTTGAAATGAATAAATGTAATACAATCTTTGACCACTGAAAATTTTAAAGCAATTGGTCCGGTAATTGATGAATAAATCATTTTTTTTCAAAACCATAAGAAGATAAGAATGACTAACAACAACAACATAATACAAAACGATCTAAATGTACATTTCGTGTCCTGAAAGCAATCATCATCCTTTATTTCATAATTATTCTAAAACTTACCATGTTTGAATAAAAATTGTCGTAGAGCTTTTCCAACTGGCGTTCTCAGAACAAAGTTGATGAAATCATTTTGTTCCTTCTTCTTGTTGTTTATGAAGGATTCATCTATTCCTAATGATTTTTCATAATTGTCAAACAAAGCAATGAGTTTTTGAAATGACTCTAGTTGCAGAATGGATTCATCTACATAGGTGAATAATCTGTTGAAAGTTAAAAATGTTTTTCGATAAATTCATAATAATCAATCAGACCCCCAAAAAGACAATGACTAAAGTAAAGGGCAAAGGTTAGCATGATTAGATGTGATTGTATTTTCGTTAGGGAAGTTTATTCTTGTTTCTTATCATTCAACACGAAGGTCATCTATACCTCTATATGGCTGACCAGATTTTATTAGTTTGCATTTCCAAACACTTATTATACCTATTTGGACTTTAGAAAATCCAAATAAAATCGGGTAAAAATTTTGAATCATGCACGCACATGGCCACACATTATTCACAGATTTTAACGCAAAATTTTGATATTGATAAATGATGTTTTAATTTGAGTATTTTTGATAAGTTTCCTATTTTTTTCAAATGTACACGCTTATGAGCACTTTTAATAAAAGACTCAATTTGTTCTCAAATGATGTGAATGAATGGGAATAAATAAGAATACACAACAACATAACGAATAACTTTAAATAGAAATTGCTTCAAGCGTTTTAAACAATTAATGTATCTTTTGGCTACTTGAATGGGCTAATTAAGAAATATATTTAGAGCAATGCTGTACAATGTACACGATCTGAACTTGAAACTAGAAGAAAGTTAAAGTGTTGAAGGAAAACATCGCAGTCATATACAATCAACGAGAAAGAAATCACAATATAGTAATTAAAAACCAACTTTGATTTCATTTTGTTTACTTCTGACCCTATAGCTAATAATAAGCTTAAAACACTGAAATTGGTACAGAATTTATATATATATATATTATGTTATCATTCAACGATTACAACTTACTTTTCATCAGCTTTATCTGTCGTGTTTTTGTCAGTTGTAAAACCTTGTTTATTTATAACAAAATCCGTAGATCGAGGTTTAAATGTATTTTCTTTCCACAATCGTTTAGAAAATTCAAATATCTCTTTGTTTGTCACTGAAATAAAATAAGTTTCATTATAGGTAATGTGAGTAGGAACGACTGAAGCACAGCATAAGCCCACTTTGCCTCAATCTGCCGATCTTATCGATTGGCTTTATATTCCCACTTCTTTGTTTTTTGCACATATCTATTCTCATTTTTCATTGTATGTAATATATATTATCGCAATATGCCGTCTTACCACAACTCCCATTAGTAAATGCGCACTTTTGACATTTTTCTTTGTCCGGCAAATAAATTTGACATTTTTCAGCGCACCTGAAACAAAGGAGAAATGCTAAGTATATGGACACGAAGAGGAACAAATATGAAATCTAAAGAAAAACAAATTTTGGTAATAGCCTTATAACAACAACACATTAATAACAAAATAATCTATAGGTCAACTTCATATCCAATAGTCGTGTCGGATTAAAGTTATAAATGCAAAAAATTCCAGTTTTCTCCATCAGCACGGTCATAATCCATAAGTCAAAACTGAACAAATGCTCATTCCAAAAATTTAAATATAGTTGAAGCTTTCGACACAACAATAGATGTCAGTCCATCTTTGCAATTTATTTATCTTACCATAAAAACATGGCAAGAGACTCTATATTTGGACTTGGAAATCTAACTTATAGAAACTAATATATTTTCCTAATTTCACTTACATAGGTTGACATGTTTTAAGGTAACCATTATTTCCGACACAACAATCTTCGTGCGCTATGCATCGTTTAGTGCATTGACATGGAAACGAACTGTTGTATCTGCTAAAACATCTACCTTCGCAACCCACCAAATCTGTAACGCTTCCACCTGGAATCACGGCAAGATAAAAAAAAATGCAGTCATATATATAGACGTTGACAAAAAATAAGCAATAGGATTGGAAACGTGGTTTAGTCAACAGTACGCACACAGCCAATCACATATAGATCAGACACACAGTCATACATTTATTACATGAAGTCGATTTGCTGTACGATACATAACTTGAATGATTGTATTTGTATATTGAGTTAGGTACATATAAATATGATATTGGTTGTAGATAGACCGTATATCACGCAAAAGAACTCATCATGAGATCAAGATGTGGTGAACGGAGTTCATTATTATGCAATATATGTTGTTCAATCTTCAACGCCCTAAATTATATATTTCTCTCATAGAACGAATTCGTAATATGTTACACATACCTTGACAAATGACTTGCCCAACGAAACTACAAATCAAGAAGATGAAAATCTGTACGAAGCTATTCATAATATACGCCATCAACCTTATTCACTGAAACAATAAAGAATAATTTAAAGTAGCTTCTTGGAATCCTACTGGCTAATAATTTTTCTGCGAAATGAATGGTTTTTAAATCTATTTCGAAGGAACACATGGTAGATTGAAATTAGAACGTAAATTAACTCACAATAAAGGTAGTTTAATTAAATACAAAACAAACACTTCTTTAATTTCCTTTATTCTATTCCTTTGATAACTTAAATTTTCAAATCTATTAATTTCTTGCACTCCACTATTACTGTATGACTATTTTTAATAATCAGTTTTTGTACTTTTTTGGCGTGTTTATGCAAAGAGGTTCTGACACGAATCCGGTTCAAACACTCAAGAAATTATTTGTTTAACGGATTAAAACCATGTTTTTGAACATTAGAACGCATCCATCACAATTTGCCACTCTATGTGTTCACGAGTTGTCATATAGGCTACAGCTGCTATGTAATAAAGTTTCATCAACACCTCATTACTTCGGTACTTCAACAACTCAAGATCATTATATTTGAAATCAATTTTTGTTTCAGGCCGAGTTCAATTGCGAAATAACAAATCGTAAACCGGATTGAGATTCGTTCTATTTTCATCGACAAAAGACTACAACCCAACTTAACACGAATATTATTACTGCACATCTAAATAAGAAGTTTTTAACTATATATATAATGTAATTTAAAACATACGTGCAAAGTAACACTTCTAGATTATCATGTGTATTTGAATTCATTTTAACAGGCGCCTCGGGGGCGTATTCGACAAGAGACACTTAGGTTGACCACAAGAAAAATCAAAAAGCAAGTACGAGTGTTGTATTCCACCAAAATAAAAAAACAAATACACGATAACAAAAGTAATATAAATATAGTCCAGAAGATAGGCAAACAAAAGTGTGACAGCGCAACATAATATCTTAAACATAAATTTGATTCCTAAGCTCCTGCTAGCATCTGAGTTGATAGAGTTTGTGGAATTTTATCAACACGATGACAATTGTATGTGACCGTGGCGTCTCTTGCCATGGTTTTATGGCGCTATTACCGGTATATTTACAAAGTCATGTACAATATTTTAGTCTATCATGCGGAATTATATCTACTTAAACCTAAACATAACCCCAAATACATCAAAATTGTATTCATAAGAAAAGTGTTCCAACTTACCCTATATTTATCACCATCAGGGTGACCAGGGTAACCACGGCAGCTCGCTATTGGTTTGTGGCAGCTAAAAAAATCAGTCGCCGTGGGTTTGGTCATAGCGGCCATGGTTTGGAAATCCCGCCATGGTTTTGCGGCTGCTCTAGACTCCACGAAATACTTGAAACTGCACTTGTTCCAATGACGAATGCGGGAATAATCAACGTCAACGAGTGAATTTATGAATTACGTTTCTGTCGCTAGATGTCTCTGTTGGACCATTTTAACTGACTACTGAATTTCGCCAGTTCGGCGGATACAACCAACCTTTTTATTTCGTCGTATCAAAATTTTATTTATTTATTTTGTTATTGTGGTTGATAACGAAAAGAGTGGCAATTAAAAAATGCATTTTGCTCACACCAGTCATGCACATATCATCAATGAGAAGTTTATTATTTGATGAGAATCAGGCGCCACCGTTAAATTTGTTACATAATTCTGATATTTCAATAATGAATTTTGTTCCCAACATCTCAACTTGTGTTATTATATTATTTGTCAATAATGAAAAATCTCGCCCCTTAATCGTTTAGACATGCTGTTGTAAATTGAAAGTTGTGAAATTTCACGTTTTCCGACTATGTCGGTTTTGACGAAATAGGGCATATTCAGTATAACGGAATACCCATAAAATGCAAAATTTTGTTTCCAACAACTCAACCTGTGAGATGAATAATAAAATCTCGCCCCTCTTAATCGAATAGAAATGCTGTTGTAATTTGAATGTTTTGTAATTTTACGTTTTTCGCCTATGTCGATTTTTACGAATTAGGGCATATTCAGTATAGGATTACACATAACTGCTAAATTTTGTTTCCAACACTTCAACTCGTATGATGTACAACATATATACTATTAAATTTTTCAATAATAAAATTGCGCCTCTCTCAATCGAATAGACATGCTATTATAGTTTGAAAGTTGTAAAATTGTACGTTTTTTCGCCTACAGTATTGTCGATTTGACAAAATAGGACAATATCGTCACGCTAATAACCGAATTGCGTAAGTCATTTTTAGCAGTTTTGAGTAAAACGTAAAAAATTTCCTAATGATATTGTTACGCCATTGAGAGACAATAATTTGCCATGGTTCAATTTTTTGACCGGATTCAAGTTAATTTGTATGACACAGTTAAGTGACGTCATAATGGCGCACTGTGACTTAGGCAGAAATGTGTCTATGACTTGGGGACATACGCAATTTTGCAACTTTACTAAATGCACCAGTCCTGAAAACTAAACATTTCAAAAACGAATGTAATTCTCAGTATCTACAATGTTAAATCCCCAAAATAGATAATCAGTTTCAATTACATTATTTTTTATGCTTAAAAATATATATTTCATCAATATAACACGATCTGCACACCAACCGAAATAAGACTAAGATTAAATATAAAGAATAAAACAGCAATGCACCCAATATAAAAGCCAACCAAGGTGTATTGGACTCGGACAGTGAATATCACAAGTGTATGCCTTCCTATACTGTAGTATAAATTCAAATTAATACGCGCTAAGCTAGAATCCGAGATGCAAAAACTCGAAAATACTTCGCAGTGGTTATTTTGCGTTCGTGACGTCACAATAGTCCTGCGGTAACAATGATAATTCATTATGACGAAATAATGAAACAAATTTGCATGTTATATTAAATCTCCATTTTTATGGTTTTCGGAATTCTTAAAATAAAATCTGAGTTAACAGACAGGTGCGCAGTATCACATAAATACCTAATTTATAAAAAAAAAACTCAAAATCGCCAAAAATGACTTACGCAATTCGGTTATTAGCGTGACGATATTCAGTAACGGTTTAAACATAAATGCAAGATTTTGTTCCCAACAGCTCAACTTGTGGAATGAGGAGTGTATATACTAAAATAATTATCATTAATAATATCTCGCCCCTCTTAATCGGATAAACATGCTGTTGTAGTTCGAAAGTTGTTAAATTTCACGTTTTTCGCCTATGTCAATTTTGTCGAAATAAGACATTTTCAGGAACGGAATGCACATAAATGCAACATTTTGTTCCCAACAACTCAACTTGTGGGATGAAGAGTGTATATATTAATATATTAAACTTTACTTTCTATAGTCGTCGTTCAGTCTCCTAAATAGGTTTAAGTATTGTGTAGGTCAAGTGAGTCCGCGGAGCGTTTGAATGAGTCCGCAACGAGCCAGAAATTCACTGCGGGCCGCAAACGTTTTTGCGAAACCCAACCATCAGCCACGATTTACGTTAGTATTTACACAAAACATAAAAAGCAAGTTTATTCATATAAAATTAATCGAGTCAATAATTTATGGATACTGAATGAGTAGGGCTTGGCACATATTCGAATATTCAAGTATTAGAATAGCAATTTATTATTCGAAAATTTGGTAACAGGTGACGCGACAGTTCACTTGCGCGTCGTTTAATTAAACGATTGGATTTAGTCGTTGTTGTTCAAGGAATAATTTTTCTGGTAGGTGTCAATGGTGGCAACCTAAATTTTCTAAATTGAAAAGCGGCAATACAAAATACTGAAAATAAAACTGGAAACACCCTAAGTTTCTTAAATACGCTTTTTTAGACATTGCAAATGCAAAATTTCGGGTGCTACCTTAGTATTCGTATCAGGGCATTTCCCTGCTTTACTGCTGGATCCACAACCTACGGCCCACGGAGCAATATAATCAGGCCCGCGACGCTTCTCTGAATTATAGTAACAAAACAGCTGTTTTTACGATTATATTCTTTACGTGACAGAATTTATTTTGCGGCACGTTTAGACTAAATTATATCATAACCGATCAAGTATATAATTCACAATTACTCGTTGAATGAGCCTATAAATTAATTATAATTAGGCATTCAATGGCAACAAAACGCAGAAAAATTGAACGCTAAGTGCAATTGGTTCAATATTTAAATGGTCAGTCTTCGGGCACTGCTTAAAATTTAACTTCTGATCTGTGTGAAAAAATGTGATTCATTGGCCATACGTCCGGCTTTTAACTTTCCAATAATATGCGCGGCCAAACAATGACTTGCAACCTTTAATTTTGACCTGCGAGCGACAAAATGTTGTCGACTTCTGGCTTTGCTGTTGTACGAACAGCTCAGATTTGTCGAATTCACAAAAATACGAATCAAAACAAAATATAATCGGGCACTTTACCACGCATTTTTGGGTCCACGGATTGTCATGATATTTTCGGAATAGTATTGCTTTTATTTCGTCAACACAACCGCAGATTGAAATGATCACAATTAAATTAATATTAATACAAGGCGATAAATATTTTTTATTTTTATTTACTAATATACTAATTATATTTTTAATAAGCACTAAATCAAGTTGACCAACGGCGATAACAAATTCGCAAGATCGCAAATAATTTATATCAAAACTAAATATAACCGGTCAATATATTCTCACATTATTATGTTCGCAGATTGCCGTGGCATTTAAAAGAAGTAATGCTTTTACCTTGTCATAAGTCAACGCAACCGCGAGTGACCATGAACACAATTAAATTAAAATAAGAACACATTTTAAATTATTGTCATTGTCAAGGATTGAATATTGTGCGACAGAAAAGGCCATTTATACACTAAAGAAGTCGGCCCTTTTAACAAAGGCGTAATTGCGTAGCATTTCCGATTTTGAAATTCGGTAAAATTCTGTTGTGTTTGGTTTTATTACTTCTTCACACAGAGTACGGTTGCAATAAACTCACGTTGAGTCCTCAAAGGTTTTCGCCAGTGAGAAAATAGTCCGCGACCGAAAAAGGTTGAGAAACGCTGGTGTCGGTGGTCCGTGAATATCATTAAAAATTATGAAACGGCTAAAGAATCTCTGCTGAATAGAAACATTTTACTCTTTCTTTAAAAATAAATATAAATCTCTTTGTATCATCACTTTGATATTTATGATTGCAAAACATTACACGCGCCAGTTGTTTTATATTTATACTTCAATTTAATGTTTTTGACTGTTACGCCCCCAGGCGGCTATATGTTGCATGATACGTAAAGTAACTATATACAATCTCTTAATTTATGAAGTATGATTATGATAAGTTTATAAAATCTTTAAGCATCTCTTGAAGAAATAATGACCGGGATATATTTTAGGAATAGTGTTGTGTTGATTTGCGTGTTCCTGATTTGTGCATTCGTTGGGCAAGGCAATTGTCAAGGTATGTGTAATATTTTTTACAACTGTAAGAATGCTTGACTTATGGAAAGAGAAGGCAAGTAAATGTCCAAATAAAAATGCTCGCTATGTAAGTCATCACAAGTTTGGAATAAGTTTATCTGGTCAATATTAAGCTCAATATCAAAAGCGGTCCCATTTTGTAAATTGATGTTAAATGCGTTTGAAAATAAAACACAGTATCAAATATACGCAAAAAATAATAATACAAATTTTTGCCTGTCTTAACATTGAAACCTTCTTAGATGGAAATAACACAGAGTCTTTTAGCTGTGAAGGCAGATGTTTTGAAGAAATCGACGAAAAATTTTCTTGTCATTGCAATAGACAATGTATAGCATATGATGATTGTTGCCATGGGAATGATGTTTTCTTGGAAATGTGTCAACCTATGTAAGCATTTTTATGACTATTGTGTGCTCTATAAAATCTTCTTGATGTTAGCTCTAGTTGAACTTAGAAAATTAACTAATATTTGATAAACAAGTGCGCCATAGCTTATACTAGTTTTTGCAACAAATCCATTTAATCTCAACAATTACAACAAATACTATCATTCTTGTTAGACCAAAAACGTTTTAGACTAGGGGTGTGCAACCTGCGGCCGCGGGCCAAACGCGCCCCCGAGGAAAATTTATGCGGCCCGCGGAGATGTGCCTATTTCGAATGATGTGCGACCAGCGATACGAGTTTCCAATTAAATTTAAATAGGTACGTGCGAGTCATCCAATCTCCAATTTATCATCTATCCCTATGTTTAGTTTAATCTGGGTATAATCTAGTGATACCACTCCATTTGCGTTGCGAAGCCTATACCTGAGTCCAATTTATCTATGCCTATGAATCCACAATACTTTTACAGTTAGCTTGTGCGAACAAAGGATGCCATATGATCAATAACCAACATTATTGTGGTTGCAACTACTAGAAAGCCCATGTGAAATAAAGGTGTGGCCCGCAGATTCACTCGGTTATTTATATCTGGCCCTCTTGTATTAAAGATTACTCACCCCTATTTAAGACAATGTATATATGAGCATTCGTTTCATTTCATTTCAAGATATTGAACGGAGCAAAACAAAATATTTTTATTTATATAGTACTGAAATCTCTCACCTATTTAAATACCATGTGCGCTGAAAAATGTCAAATATATTTGCCAGACAAAGAAAGATGTCAGAAATGCGCATTTACAAATGGGAGTTGTGGTAAGAAGCAATAATGCTTATGTTTATAAGACGGATGACTACTTCTCTTTCTTACAGCGTGTAGCAAATCTGCATAACTAAAATGATACCTGGTTCGAATTTTAATTTGTAATATACTAGTGTTCTCTGATGAATGAATTGGTCACATTTTAACGAAAATATAACCTACTGCTCTGTTGCGCTTTTCTGTGAACAAGTTTTCATTTTCAGAAACATACGCGAGTGCGTGCCACGTCTATAAGTTCCCTTTGAATCGCTTGGGCATTACTACGAGCACAAGTCACTCCTACTATAGGACTAAAGGCTATTGAGATGAAAATTAAAAAAGGCATTGTTGGACCTATTTGCGCCGTTTTGCGCATCCTTGAAGTAGAAGTTTTCAACAAACATTTTTCAAATTTAATTTCCAGACTTTCTGTATCCGGAAACAAATACGGCTTTATCATCAATGTGAAACAAGGTGTTTGGATCAGTACAAATTTCGAATCATCCTTCATAAATATATAGCCTAGTACTTCATAGGTTATAACTCAATCATTTTTGGTCTTCACATTCTTTTGGGTACATTCATAAACATGAAAAAACACATTTTATTTCAGTGACAAACTTGGAGATATTTAAATTTTCCAAACGACTTTGGAAAGAAAACACATTTAAATCCCGATCTACGGATTTTACTTTCAATAAACAAGGACTCACAACGCCGCGAAACACTGTGGATAAAGCTGACGGAAAGTAAGTAATAAAACTGTTGAATTAAAACATGGTCGATCTTGCAATTAGAAAGTTCGGTATATACAAGAGTGCTTGAAATTGGGTTGGTAAGGTGGGATCACCGCTTCCAAAACTTGATTGAAATAGGAGAGGTGGATATATTTCATTGATATAGAAATTTGCGGCATTAATAAATATATTGATGAATATTATATTATGAGAATAGTTTAGGATAATTTATTGCCACATTTTCAATGCCGTTACAGAATCAGCTATTTAATGTAATTAGTCGTGTTTCTATACATTTAGTTTTGAAATATATGGAGCAATACAAAATTTCTTATAATAAGAAGTTATAATATGAAAGCGTTTTACTAGCGCAATAACCGTAACGAGATCACCTCTTAAAGTTGCCAATACCCATTGAAACTGAAATTTTAACTTGTCAAGTCTTAGAGTTTTCAGTTATATCGAAATTTTATTATTCAGATATAAAAATATATTCATAGGTCTATATTAGAATGAATAAGTAAAGTAAATTTTCAATTTTGTACACAGATTATTTACCTACGTCAATGAATCAATTCTGCAATTGGAATCATTCCAAAAACTCATCGCTTTATTTGACAATTATGAAAAAGCATTAGGAATAAATGAAACTTTCACAAAGAACAAGAAGAAAGAACAAAATGCTTTCATCAACTATGTTTTGAGTACGCCAGTTGGAAAAGCTCTTCGGCAATTTTTAGTTAAACATGGTAAGTATTGATTTGATCATATTCGGTTAATTGAAGACTATCTGTTACTGAAAAACTCATGAATGTTATCGCCTGCCAAAGAATTTCTCTAAAATTGTTACAGAACTGTACTGTAACTGTAATCTTTACATGCATTTTGTAATTTTTTCATGATATCCTGTCGCCACCACCGTAGTATTTGTTGTTAATCGGGATGAAACGTAGCCTACGTATTTTATGCACGGATTCTGATTAACAAGTTGATAAGATATCAGTTTGTTATTACTTATAGTGTCTGCGATTTATGGATATGATGTAGAGTTACTAAGTAATTTGTTACTTTATATTGAGTACACAGCTTATGTAGCTTTCCTGCAAATCAAGCGTGTTGTCGTGGGCCATTTAATAACAAATGGAATCAATCATTCATAGTTGTTAACTTCAAAAACTGGCATAATAAAAATTGAAAGCTTGTAAATCGAGATTGTCTTTTACGATAATCTTACCCGAATCGCGCTCAAATATTTTTGCACATCTTGCATCGTAACTGGGAGACAGGCAATGGTAATATAAATACTGATAATAGAACGAAATCGTTAATAATAACAATTGTGAAATTATCCTAGGATTGTTTTGAAAATAACAGTCGAAAGTTAACTCTTCATTTGCATTTGTGAAGATAACGAGAGTATCTCGCCATTTTGAAATCACAACGAAATCCAGTGATTTTAACAACAATGTTACTTTTTATTCTGCATTAAGTTTAAACCTCAAATGCGATCTATAAAAGTTTTCAAGTTCTCAACGATTCGTTTGAGTATTCCCACTTACTTTAGCAACTTATCGGGGAAAGAAACGCATACTGCAAATCATACAATGATTATGTTTCTATTTCCGAGGTTTATCGGGATGTGGTAGAACAAGTGATTTCAAGAAAATATTACGACAGATATGGTTCGCAAGTTTTTCAGGGAAAGAAGGAGCTATGGACTCAAGTGGGTGTGTATTCTTTCTTTTTTGTACTCGATCAACAAAGCCTGTGAATTTTTAGTGAAAACAGATCGTGTAAATTTGCAACCACGTAGGCAACAGATAATGAACTTTTGAGCATTTTAATTGAATAAATCAGTTGAATTCTATGCACGTTGCGGACAGTGGGACACTTTTCAATATTTAATGCTATATGTTCTATCAAGCTGTGCTGAATTGTGTATGTTTGTTCGTTATTTTCCAAATACCCTACTTGTGGATGTGCCCTACAATTTAATATGAAATGGAATCATCTGTATTTTCAATTCAATGCTAATTTTTTTAGGTTTGAGCATATCTTTATTGGGGAACATTATGATAATAAGACAACCGGTTTCCATAACTGGGTGAGATATTATCTTCTCGAGAAAGACGGGGAAATTGATTATAGAGGTCATTTGGATAAACCAGAAGATAACTTTGAGGTAATTTCGATAAATCTTCTTAAATATCGCTAACACCCTTGATTCTAGCTTGACTCGAGCAAACTTTTTTTTGGTATTTGGAAGTTGTGTAACTCACACAAAATAGTTGTTATACAAAAGTTAAAACTCTGATATACGACTAGTTCTTGGTACTTACTTAGTACTATAAAGTAGAAATTCTAATAAAGCGTTGCATGACGTAGATTTCATTCCTATAGCTATACTGTTATTCGTTGTAATCTAGCAGTTTTCGAACAAACGAAAACTTATTTTTAGTCTGGAAGACAGAAAATACAATTTGTTTGGGAAGGACATCGTAAGCCTATATCATCGATGTTTGTCGGGACAAGTCCGGAATGGGAATTTTGCGTTTACACATTATGCTTTCTAACGAGACCAGGCATAAGGTATTTTTGGTCATGTCATTCAGCTCAAAGTTTCGTGATTACCTAAATTGGTGATCTTTTCAATTTAACTCTACCTAGCATAATATGCGACAATTTATTTACCGTTTTTCTTTTTTATAGCGGTATATTTATTCGGGGATTTTCATCTATTTGAACATACCGTAAAAAATGCCCCTGAAATTATTAGAACATCATATATTACAAGCAATATCCTCCGTGTCAAACTCATTATAATTTGAACGCAGGTGCAAAATTTCTCTGGAAGATTTGGATGGAAACCCATACGATGTTGAAATTCAGACATACCCGTGGACAGAAATTTTGCCACAAAACGGACTGCATCATATTAGCACTGCTTTCATCATCTAACAAAAAATTATTAAAATACGAAACATGCAAATTTATATTTGAATAAAATCAGAACAGAATAAGTCGTATACGAAATGTACTGCATTGACATAATTTAAACGTTGAATCATAAAATAGCATCAGAAGTGTTTGTATATCGATGGCATTTGTGAGAAGATCAGCTATCTAGTGTAGCCCACTATATCAGTATGTGAAAACCGTACTATTACACTCATTGGCAGTGCTTGAATCAAGCAATTAGAAATATAAATGAACGTATAAATACACCTCATGAAGAAAAATATACAGTAACAAAAAACGATAAAAAAAACACGAGACCTAATCATAACAGTTTTAAAGAAAAAAAGATAAAATGAAATACTAAGAACATCAATTCATTGACGGAAGCCAATGAGGATGTTATGGATTCTGTATATAGTTTCCAGGAAAAACAGATACCCATCTATTTTATTCCGTTACTTATGTTATGACACAGTGAATTTCAAATGTTTTTTTCTACATACATATCTTGAGGTACACGTCCATTCTTTTCACATATATACATTCAATTTCATATAATAACTATAACAACTTGACAAAACATTTGTAAATCGGAATAACCCAAAGCACGCCATGAAGTCCCATTTATCATGATATGATTAAGTTGTACAAATTGTTTCTTCACAACGCGATAACTTACGAAACAGATTGACAAAACAACATTTCTGATTCAGTAATTCACCGATTACTAATTCACCGAATCGTTATCACAATTTCACAAACATCAAATTAGTGGTGGTTGATTTCAGGTGAAAGTTTGCTTTGGTGTTTGAGAACTCCCAGTATTATTATCCAACGGAATTGCCCTTCCAGAAGTGGTCATTCTTTGTTTTGACACATCGAACATACACGGAACGATTCTTTTCATGAACGCGAACGTAGCTTTACGCATATTGCTGAAAATAAAAATAGTAAGGCCATGTTTTATCTGCGGTGGTAAAATTCAATTGAAAAATGTCAACGGCATGTGGAAAATTGTATTTAAACTCCTCTTGTTGAAATCAATATCTTGGTTTAAACTTGTCAAGTTTCGGCACGGTATTTTAACATTTATATTATTATTTCTGGAACCTGAGAGCAGTGCTCAAGTAGGCTACATGGACGCGAATGTCAAATATGAGAAGCTTAGAATCAGCTTTCTTGAAAACAATCAGAAATTTCTATAAAATTAAAATCACTAATTTTCGTTCATTTCTTGTAGGAATTTATATTGGTAACGGACAACAATAAGCCCTTAGCTGAGAACCGGGTCTGTCCAAACCATGGCGAACTAGCTTGACGGAAGGCCACCAGGTGGCACAATATGGGTCAAAATAGCAAATTTGGGGTGAAATATATAAAACGCATATATATATATATAAATTGAGAAATGGATCGTACGCTCCAGAAATATGTGTACCAATATGGAGGTAACTATGAATTGAACTACGAACCATGAATTGTTCTATTAGCTGCTAGAAGAATCGACCTTTTTACAGCAACAACCTATCGAGATAATTTATCCAATAGGAAATTGCAAACAATTCCTATTTTTAGTCTTTGATAAGATTAAAACGTTCATTATATTTTCCACTTTACCTCGATCCCAAGTTGTAAAACACCGGATTCAAACATTCTGATAATCTCAGCAAACAATGTGATGTCACAGAAAACTGCCACTCGCCTCTAGCTGGTAGACTCTGATTAAAAGCTCTCAGAATGATTGCAGTCATTCGGTAGGCTAAAGTAAAGTATTATAAAAACTCTTTTTAGTCTAGCATCATGGCTATCTACAATAGATATCCTAACTAGAACGTTACAAGACAGTGTATATGCTGTGCTGAAACGCTACGTGAAACTTTCGAGACATTGCAAGCTATTCTCCTGGAAAAGGTAAAATTCGACTAAAATTTTATTACAAATTCTTACCGATATCGGGAAGATATCCCAACATGAACGAGGCGATGATTAAAGCAAGCTGGATCAAGGCAAAATTCTCTTTCTTTGTTGCAGCTTTTTCTGATTGAAGATTCGATACTAAAAATAGATATATTTGCGTGAGATACCACCAAAATATAATCGTTTCAGGCAGCATGGCATCCTACTTACACTGTTCGATTCAAGTTCACATGTGCATTCAATATCAACACAGAAATAAATCAAAGTGTAGGTGGATCAAAATTTTATTTCGCCCCTTTCTAGCTCTAATCAGCGCAATAAGATCAATGAGAAATCCCACTCAGTGCCTAACGTGTGAATCACAAATCAAGGTAATTTCAGAGCAACTAAAACTTGTTATGGAACGCCGTAGAATAAAAGAGAAATTGATTATGATAACTTTGCTTGCATATGTTGTTCAACTTTTATTGCTTTTTATAATTCTATGAGAACCATTTTTTAGGCATAGTTTTGGCTAATTCGTATGCAATTGAATTCAAAATATCATAAAAACTTTGTTAAAATAAGTACTTGAAAGTACGGCACAAATAACCAATCTTCATTTCGCCTCACTATTTTTTCAAATGATTTGAGTATGAATCCTTCAGTTTATCTATAATTTTACCCTAGCGTTGATGATTACTACGAACTCAAAATTTCAGCCGCTTCGCAGAGAACTCTATTATAGACAATTAGACATTATAGGTAAAATGGGGGCTCGTAGATATAGATTTAAGGAGAACTTTAGTGATATCAACAAGATTTTCCATTGTGCCTTCGGATTATTTCAACCCAAAAAGCTTGCATACTCCGTCATTGTTATTATTGGTATATACAGAACCATAAGATTATGCATGAAAAAGTGGTAATATGTACAAAAATCATCTTACCTTTATTCCGATTCCTTTTTCGTTGAAAAATTAAGTAACCGAGAGCGGCAGTCACAATGACTACTGCTATCATAGGTACATATAGAACGATCGGAAATCCGATCTGAACGTACCCTAAGAGCATACCAATCCATGCTGGCTGAGCAGTGCATGCTTTACTTATTGCACCGCTAGGTGTTCTTTTACCAGGAGGAAAAACTCCAGGCCATATATAATAAACGACAAAACTTGCGCCCATTGTTTCCATCCAGATGACAATGACTATGACCTAAAAATTATGTTAAAATGGAATTCATTGTATGCAGTTTTAAATCAATGTCATCAGCCTCACCACGAATCTTGATCTCAGAAACAAATTTCATATACACCATTGCAAACTTTTACTTTTTTTTTAAAAATAAAAAACTGTTTCTTATGCTTATAGCTAGGCTTGCACGTAATTGACAAAAATCAATTCCGTAATTACGGCCAAATCGATTACGTAATGACCCCGTAATTGCGATATTTTTTTCACACTTTTAAACCTATCATAACAACCAATTTAATCCACTTCTATTCCGAATGGGACATCGACAGTTGGGACAGTTTGGTTTTCATATTTCCGCCAGTACTACACGCCGGCGACAGATGCTAAAGAAAAATATCAAGGAGTGAATTCAAATTAATTTTATTCTGATTTTTATCTTTCGTGTTAGCTTTGATTTTCCTTTATCAACTTTATCACCCAATTTTATGCGATCAATTTTATCATTACCAACACTGGTAAGTGGTAATATATTTATGAAACGATAGTTGACTTTTTTAAAATCGTATTAACGTATTAATACGAGTTTCGTATTAAATAAAAATTCCGGGTTTCTAATTTATAAATCAACGACGAGCGTATTCTCTCGTTTGATTATACTTGCGCTTGCCTCGCGACGAAGACTTGTTATTGTACCGTGTTTTTACATTATCCGACTTTACTACCTAGTTAGCATTTTATAATAATTATTGATGCCGACTTATTGACGATATTCCGATTACCATGCTCCATTTTACACTAAATCATTTCGCGGCCTAAATGTTATAACATTATTTGCGATAAATTTATATCAACTATTAATTATTTGAGCATAATTTAAATACCGTACTTATATGACATGCCTTCTCCGAAAATACAAAGTTATATCGCAAAACAATGCATTTGTTGACATTTATTTTGCACTCACGAAAATATTAATTAATTTTTCTAACTCAAGTCGACAATCCTATCGGCTAAGATTGACACAAGTTTGGTCGAGTGCCGGTGGTATTTGAGTCGACGATAAATCAAAATAAGTTGCCGCATTTGGTAAAGACTTGAAGATATTGTAGAGACGTATTTGGCCGAAATAGTGCGAGGCATTGTGAAAAAAGGGCCAAGTCCGGACAGATATATAACGATAAAACCGGTAACAGAACATCAAGTTTTGGAATAGAAAATGGATCTCGCGCAGAATAAACATGGGAAATCCCGTCTTTTTGTTGTTTCTCTGCCGTCTGAATCGCTTTACCGATGCCGAAAAGACTAAGTTGCGTTGGTTCATTACGCAATTTCTCTTCCGTCGTCATATTGCTGTTTGATCAGCGCGACAATTAATTATCACGGCATTTACAAATAGACCATGTTTTATAAGTTGATCTCTTACATTCTTTAGTCATTTCACCCGAAGAAGTTGAAACCAGGTGTGTTGGCGTCCATCGGTCTCAACACAATTCTATCCCATATCTACGCTTAATATGTACATTTGCCATGCTAGATAAGTTGATAATAGGTCAATAAATGGCAACGCGTTATGCCTTCTCCATCTGCGTAACAAGAGAGAGAAAAAGAGCTGCGAATACCGGAACTCTAACTTCTTCTACTTATTAAACTTTAATTTTTTACAATCGACGGAATTGACTGCTCTAAAGAGAGCTCGTTTCAATCGCGAAAGCGCTCCACCAATAATTACGAATTTACGTAATTCGTAACTTCGCTTCCGTAACTCGAAATAATTCCGTAATTCCGTAAATCCGTAAATCACGTGCAAGCCTACTTATAGCAATCATTTTAAATAAAAATATTTGAACACGTGTTATTATAAGTTTAGTTCAGTCTATTGCAATTAATTCGTGACAATAAATTCAATATTTATATATATATATATATAAATTAAACAGAATAACAAACCTTAGCATGAAAAGCTTTTAAAACTCCAAAGCGATGCGGAAATTTGATTGAAATCAATCGGAGAATAGAGAATACTAAAATATGTTGAATAGTAACACAAGATGTCCAGAAGTCAAGTGATATTGCCAACTGAAAAATAACGAAGAATTTATATAATCATGCTTTTTCGGAAGTAATATGAAGTTGATATGATATTTTAAATGATTCTGTGAAGCTTAATATAAGTTAGATCGTTTGTTACATATAAGAAAGGGAGGCAAATTTGAAAAGCAATATCGAAAAAAAATTTAATCAATCCCCAATGAGAGCAAAATGTTTTTATCTGGACCAGGGTTGGTACCGTTTAGTCTGTATCAAACAGTTAATAATATGCTGTACATCGAAGATTATTTTCCACGTTACAATAGTTTAGCTAATAAAATTTAGTTAGCTCTTTTATACTTTGATATTTGGAGCACGACTTTTATTAAAAATATATAATTTTAGTTTTATATTTGAAATATCTCCGCTGTAGCTTCGGTGTTATAATCAAGCATATAAACAATTTAAATACTCAGTATAGGCATCATATATTTTTGTATTGGTGATTCAAAAAAGAACAAAAAAGAATGTCATTGGGACATATTCTGGGAGAACATAACTTTTGTCCTAAATAATTAGAACTTTTTTTTACAATCATACACAAACATAAGTTCAGGTATTAAATATATTCTCTTAATTTTTGTAGGAGTAATAAAGAAATTAATGAGTTTAGTTCTTGGTAGTCAGCCTGTAGCCTAAATTGTTTCAAACCAGAATGGTTTATTCAACTGTCCTTACCTTACAAAAGATATGAGGGATCGACCACTCATAGAAGCCCCAAGTTGCACGGTATATAACAAATGGACTGTTGACAGCTGACACAAAATCCGAAACACATAAACTCATTAAAAATATATTGAAAACTGATCTGAAAACATAGGAAAAAAATGTACAAAATTAATATTTAAGGTAAAAGAGAAAAATAAGTGAAAAAAAAACATAAAAAAATAGTAAAATTTTGATCAAGCATAATATGTTATTTATTAAACCACCTGTTAAGCTTGGGCGTAATTTGAATGAAAACGAATGTTATAATGTTTGCAATGATTCCAAATATCGCAAATGTTCCAAGAACCAACCAGAGAATGACTTCCTCTCCTTTTGAAAAAACAGCTTGCAGGTCCCTAAAATGCAAATTTGGAGTTCAAAAAACACAAAATCAAAAACCATGTCCTTTCGAATAGCACGTACATTTTTATTAGAATATATATAATCCATATGAAATGGATATGAAAACTCAACGGACGTGGTGATACAGTGGTCTGTGTCCATCGTCTTAACCATGTTCGCATAAAAGTAGGCAATGTTCGATTAAAGTCTTTGTAGTTTAACGTTTAGGGCACGATCTCAACCAGGTTGTAAAATTTGGTAGGATATATCAAAACGAAGTCATAGAAGCTTGTTAGAAATAAAGGTAAAAACAGCTTAATAAGAGTTACAATTGCCAGGTGGCTAATTCTTTCGGATGCAGTTGTACAACTTTAAGTGTGTTCTACTTGTAAAATTTCTATTTTCAAATAGATTCAGTTTCTTATATATTTATGCACATTCTAAAATCAAATTTTAATCTTTATATTTAGTGCTTTATGAAATTGAAACAATATTACATTTACACTTACTTTTGATCTTTTTCGAATTGTAAAAGTAATTTTTCAGTTTCATTTATGGTTGTGTTCATTACGACACTAAGCGTGTACGACGGTGAGGTAGAGGTTGTCATCATATAATCGCCACTCATAATTTTAACTTCTAGATATTAATAAAAAAAAAATGATACAAAATGATACATGAGAAAGATTACAAATATACAACTACATAAATTGTAGCATTGCTTTAAATTAATTTTGATCATAATTACTCCGGAAAATTCGATGGAAGAAAACAAAATAGTTCATGCTTTGCCAACAACGCATCAATACCATGTCGACTAACAATGTAATGTAAGGAGAAATTCAGAGACTGTCATTTTTGTTATATTTGTGGCTCAATTCCATAAATATTTCACTCAGTTTTGCTCATAAATTTGTTGGCGCTAATTGCTACAGCTGTGTTCTGTAATGAACTGCTCCAATCAAAACGTTGTCAATTCCACATCGCGCTGTTTGACATTGCTCTAGTACAAGGTTTTTGAACCAAAGTCCAAAAATGTTGCCCACTTAGACTTGTGGACCGTGTAGTTTAGCTATTAATCTTCACGAATTAGGGTACAGTGACAGATTATTGGAAACCATCGGGAAACGATAGATTAAATTACATTACAAATATGCGTGAGCTATGTACAAAAAAGAGAGCATTAGAAGAGCGTTATGGGGTCGTTGACAAAACTTTGAGAGCACTAAATTGAAACTCGATGCTGCACGTGGCGCATACGACAAACGCACGAAGCGGAAGGAAGATGTGTGAAAAGCACCCCTTCGAATCGAGTGAGCGGGAAAACGTGAAGTTTTGTTAACGTCCCCATAACATCAAAGCCCGCGGCAAACCTAAAATACAACTTTCACTGACTACAATCATAATCTAACAAGCCTATTGCACCATTGCAAGTACGTAGTGCATGCAGCATTGGTTAAAAGCATAAATTTATGGCAGCATCCGAGCTGCCAGATTGAATCACCCAGCGGGCCAGATTACGCCCGCGGGCTGTACTTTGCCCATGTCAGCACTAGTACGACACATTACCTCGGTTGATAACTTTACTAGACTGCTTTCACGTTGAAATATTTAAGCAGCCAATGATCACTTTTCTCCGACGTCGACTTGTAATGATTGTGTGTAAAATTTTCTTTCTTTTATATAAAAATTGAAAATGTCATGTGATATTTAGTGCGTTGTTAAGCGGCATTTGGACATTGTAATTGAAACCTAGATTAAATATGAATATGAAATGTAATACTTTTTAATAAATTTTTCATGATTTGCTTTCGAAATCTTTTCACTCAAAAAATGATCTGACATTAGCTTTTATTGTGGTTGTGATTCTATTTAATAAATAATTTTACCTTCACTGACAGTTTAAATTTGAATTGTAGAAGATCTGTTCAGTTCGAAGTTAAGTAATATATTGTATGAAAAACATAAAATATATTCTAGCAAAACAAATGATCCACCATCCATATTTAAAAATTCAATTTGACAAATAAATATTTAATAATATAACGCCATCTGCTTTGAGAAATGCGTCATAGCAATGTTTACTCAAATCTGTCCTTGTATAATCCAATTATCCAATCGCTTTTTAATCACTAACATATATTAGTTGCAGATATTCCATATTAATGAACATAAAAAATACATGACCATCTACCATTTTATTTGATTCGTATAGGTACAATCACATTTACTCGGAAAGGGATACCCAAAAATGATCACTAATTTGGATTAATTGAAATCGTATGTAGTAGAGGTTTTTAATATGAGCATATCATCAATGCTTGTAAACAACTGTTGCATGCTAATTTTACATTTTTATGAGAATGTTGGCATCTAAGAATGAAATTTTAAATGATGTTTATTCATAATGGCAGTATAAGTCTCATCGAACAACAAGTTGAATTATTTGACTCAGATGTCTGAGCAAAACGTTTTTTTTAATTCGTCAGGGATGCGCTTAACCTTAAAAAACTAGAGGCAAGATTTAAGCCAACAATAAAACAATGAGCGCTCACATCAGGTATCAAATACTTATCAACATGAATTACGATTAATTACGATATACGCGCGACCGAACTCCTAGTCCTGTCAACCGCCTAACTCTTCCACTAAAAGTACGACGCAATAAGATGAAGTGAAATATATCAGATAATATTTTTTTAGCAATATTGGTATCTTAATAGACTTAAAACGTCTTTTTAATTCGTTATAGAGCTTTCTCGGCAACGAAGATATGTTAACAAGATATCTAAAATTGAATGTGTCAGAAAGATGGTGAGCTCAGCTGAAAATTTAATACAATGAAATTCGCGAAGTGCGTCGTTGACTCGACGATACATAATTGTTCTTTAAGAATTACTTTAATTTGATAAAATAAACATCGCCAATGCCACCTTTATGCAAATTCCATCTGAAAATTATTATAAGTATTTCTATACGCAAACTGACATAATATTAATCCAAAACTCTATATCAACTTTTAACATAAAAATATATTTCAATTTTGAAAGTAAATGCCGACTCTACTTCCTTTTCGTGAATAATACCCTAATATTGTGACACCCGAAAAGATGAATTCATTGGATGAACTTGAAAAAAATTGTCTATAATTCGTTTACCCTGAATTATCAAATAGATGATCTGACAAATCCCCGTCATTATTATTTAAAACCACAAAGAAATTATTTAAGATTATTTTATTTTTTGCGGTATTTCAGTCGATTAATATCTGTTTGCCAAAAGAGTTGACTTTCAAGGCAATTCAATGTAATTTAGTATGTCTGCTATAAATCCACGTAACTATTTAAACAGCTTCCTTCAAAAATATTATCAAATATATCAACATACGATTTTTTGGGGATGTTATCCAATCTTTTTAAGATAAGCAAACAGCTGCTATATCTATGGATGAGCCAACAACTTGTTTCACATGCATATTTACCTTTAGTCTTGTTTCCAGTGTATGACTTCGGTTACGAACTTAAATGGAATAGAAGAATACTAGAATATATATAAATACATATGATATCTTTCCTCCTTATTGCAACGAAATTGAAAGTTGGCATAAGATTTCGTCAAAGCATAATATAGATTCTACATACAACTAAAACAGGAAATAGATAGAGATTATACTTCGAGAGAATTTTACCAACAACTTATCTTATTAGTCACGGCTTGTTTGATAGCCTAATCCCCGACTCTGTTTTGATGGAAGTTCACTACAATAACTTGCAGTTTTTTGAATGGAAAATTACGCTTATCTGGCAAGCTTTGAATTCAATTACTTTTTCAGTAAGACTTCAAAATTATAACTCAAGTTTTTCAGATCTATAAATTAATTAACGATTCACGAATGAAATTTTGTTGTTGTATATACACTCATTTTTTCTATTTTATCATCAATTTATTGATTAGATCTTGCAATTATTGCAAATATTCTGCCATTCAATTTAACATCCGAATATTTACTTGATAAATTATTGTAAAGCATCCAATTTTTATTGACGAAAGTTCAACTAATTTTGATATAATATTGTCCCATCATTTTTTGAATTTTGCAAGCCTGTTTCTAACTAAAGTTCACCTACAGATTCTAAGGCATTCTAAAACCTACTACGACCACAAAATATGAAAATTTAGCCCTCGCCTGTATTTATGTAAAAGCGTCATAAAACGACAATATCAAGACTTTTGATCTTTTCAAAAATATACAAACCACATACTACTGACGTCTATCGAGTAACGCTATATTAAATCTCACAAAATTAAATAAAATGATGGGGTATTCCAGCAAGAATGACACAACACACCTCAAAGATGCGTTAAAATTCTGATTTTTTACAATATCTCAAAAGCGTAGCAAGAATTCAACGGTCACCTGTGGTGACTACCCAGCTAACAATATAATATTCTCTAACTTTGTGCTTTTCTCACACACTTCTACAATAGAGCAACCTTGAACCAGGCAACGATTAGTAACAGATACAAGCAAGTTTGCACGTTAAAAAATTCTTCAGAGATGCTATCAATGCAAATTTTGTAAGAACCTGTCAAACCACACCAAATAACTGACTAACTAACGTATTTTATTTTGTGATAAAATCTTAATCCGTGCTACAATTGATATTGAATTTCTACAGTTCTAAAAATCTGTCGAGTAAGCTTTAACATCAACAAAAAATGTTCAATTTTTTGATTCAAGTTGAAATAAATAAAATTATATGCTATCTTATTTGCATCGAAGATGGAGGATTTCCGTTCGACAAATGACTAAATTAGTAAGAAGAAAATAATCTAAATTAGGTATATCCAAAATTTTTAAATACATAATCTGCATTCATGTCGTGTCAATTACAAGTTCAGAATCCAAATTCACGCTATTTTGTTGCGTAACAATGGTTTCCTTCAATTGTATTGCACGTAAAAGTTGTTAGATTACTTTTAATGAACGACATAAACATATGTTCTAAGTGAAATCTTTCCGAAACAAATTGAGTTTTGCTCTGTTATGTGACAACTGGAAAATATTTTCAATGTTCCAAATCATTAATGAAATGGCAAGCAACAATTTCCAGTCTATTTCTTTGTTTTCAGAAAACAACTTAAATTTCATTGGGTAGAATAATTTGAACTGTTATTTATTTTTTTATGGTTAGAGCATTCTAATGAGCCAGATGTCACAAAAATACAACTGCAAGTAAAGGAACTTTGAATATAAATGAAATTGAAATTGTTTGAAAGGTCATCAGATAAATCGAATGAATGAATCAAAACGAAAATAATTTGAGAAAAAAGAAATTTCCGTTGATGGTAAATGACCCAGAATAAATAAATCGTTTTGTATTGTCTCAGGTCTATATTATAAGTAGTAAGACATACCTATACCAAAGTCAGGGATGAATTAATTTCTGTCACTCTACAGCTGGCATGGGCAAACTGCGGCCCGCGGGCCAAATCCGGCCCGTTGGGTAATTCAATATGGCCCGCCTGATGCTGCCGCAACCAACTTTTGATGTTTTAGCTCAAGGAATTTGTTGAGATTGCGATTACATATAGTTTTGGCACGAGGCTTATTGTTTTTCACTTTTGCTTTTGTAACACTGTAAATATTGTCCATATAATGTAACTTTTTACTTACATGGCCCGTCAACCTAGGTGGCAAATATTTTTGCCCGCAGTTCAAAAACCTTGCCCATTCCTCCTGCTCTATAATATTTCTAAAATGTTTCTTACCTCGTACTCGAATAATCTTAGTTATTATTGGTATCAATCGATTGTTGAGAAACAAAACTTATTAATTCTTCTCTGGGGATAACAGGGGTGATGAGTTACATATATATTCAAATTCCACGAGGATAGATAACCAAACTATATGCTATTTTTTAATAAAAGTTAATTGCAAAATGATTTGAACGATTACAGATTTCATTTAGCTTGATTATAGTTTACGCATAATTTTGTCAACAAATTAAAAAATTGTTTATTTTTCACAGAAGAGTTTATAAGGTAAGTACTTATTTCTATTTACATTGCATCCACATGTAAGTTCAAGTGCTTTGTCTCAAGTTTTCTAGCAATTGTGCAATTAAAAACTAATACTTTAAGTTGTATTGGATTCTGCATAACGGTAAGTAATACTGATAAAAATGTTTGCAGAATCGGTCAAGTAGATAACGAAATGTTCGCAAATTTTTGTCTCAGAAATAATAATATTATAGATATCTGTTTCAGAAACTGAAGTCGTTTGATCGAAATACGTAAATACTAAATCACATCATTCTACACTGATCACAAATTTTGAGCCTTGGGGGTTTTCTCAAGACCGAATAAGCTTCTACATTTGGAACGTGAGCTAATTAACTTATTATCATAGGCATTTCCGAGAAATGAGTAGCAAAATGGATGTGTATTAAATGTTTAACATCTCGTGTGTTGGATTAATTTGTTATATTTTTACAATAATTTAATTTTAGTTTTCATTATGAGGGAGAGTGAGAAACAAAATCACACATAAACTTACATTGTACGAATATTCTGAATAACCTAAAATTTGCTAAATAATTTGAGTATTTGGAAAGATTGTAGCATCAAGTTTT